CAAAGTAGAATTAAATTGGACGCTTGCTTTTCGACCCGTGATGGCTCAATCCGTACAATTTAGTAAAATTGCCAAAAAACTGAACATAGATTTGCGCCAATTTTTTTCTCATCGAAAGGAAGCACTGTTCTTATTAAAATCATGAAATAAAAAATGGGGGTCACCGTACTCGTTTTTGCGGTAGAGCTGCAGAAAGTGCCCACCAAACGCATTTTTTCCGATTTTTGAGAGAGGACTGGGGCGAGTTTCAAAATAGAATGTATGTGAAAGGGGGAAGAAAGTATTAAAAAATCCGTTTTTACAGAAATTACATCGAGATATCACATTTAGGACACAATGTGATAAAGAAAGTGATTAAATGAAAATCAAAGTGAGTAAGCACAAGTTAAACACCCACTATTAAGATTCTCCAAGAGGAGGTCGAACTCAGCAACACGCGTACTGCTTACGTTATGCACATTCCCAACACATTGAGTCTCACCTCGGCAAGAAACAACAGCAAGCAAAAATTCCAAAAGCGTTTCTCTTCAGTCAACTTCATTTTAATAATATTACTTCACATGCTCTTTTTTACGGCGGCCATCTTGTTATGCGCAGTAAGAGATGCGCAGTGCAAAACTAGGGAATCACCTTAAAAACTGTAATCGACTTATAAAATGACGTTTTGAGGCTTAATAAAAAACAATAAATGCAAAACCTAGTTAGATCAGCTCTGCTGTAGGTAAGTAATTGCTTGAAGGGTTTTTTGTCATAGTCCCAGATAAGTGCCCCCACCCCCAGATATAAACCCACCCCTAAGTTTAGTGAAATTAATTGATTTATTATAATGACTTTTGGAGGCTTAAAAAAACAGTAAATGCAAAACATGTTTTGATCAGCACTGCTATAGCTTAATAATGCTTGAAGGGCTTTTTTCCATTCCAGTTATAAAGCCCCTCAGATGTAACCCTTCCCCTCACCCCCGCCCCCCAAACACAGTACACAATTAGCTACATTGCACTTTTCATATGACTATAAAAGGCCAATTTGAAAATAAAACCTTCACACACTGTTGGAAGTGCACCTTATTCCTTTAGTCCTCAAAAATCAAAGCGCTGAAAACTTTCCGACGGGAGAAATTAAACTATTGAAAGAGTTGTGCATAAGCCTGATAAGCAACATAAAGCATATGAGCTTCGAGGGTGAGGGTCAAGATCTTGCCAAATGCGAAGTAAACCATTACCACAAGCACTTATAAAACTGTTGGAAAAGTTAAATAATAGATTTCTTACTGTTTTATCCACCTATAATCGCTACTAACCTCGCAAAGTGGATGAAAAAATCAACCATGTTTTCTTCACCCTTCCGGGCGCCATCTTTTTTTCAAATTTAAGTTTAGTTCCCAGTGCCCCAAAACGTCCACAATGCGCGGCCTCCTTGCTCTGCTGAAAAATAGGGCCCTGGTGGGTGCAAGTGTTTTCTGCTAAAAAAAAAAAGATTTGAATGGGGATAAACTTTGATCGGGTTGGTTTTACAGAATAGACTGAAATACAGGGCTGTAATAGCAGAAAAGGCAGGAAATAGTGAGCGCTTACTGGCGCTGGCCCCAGCTGTTCAAAAAGTGGATAGCGCTATCCACTGGATACATCTTTATCCAGCGGCTTCCCAAATACTTATCCACTGGATAGTGATTTATCCGGTCGATAGGGCTATCAAGCTTTTGAACAACCGGGGCCTGGTACTTTTCTTTCTTTTTTGTTATGTTTGGTCCTGGATTTAGTTAGAATTGCGAATAAGCGGCGTCAACAATAAAAAAACTTTTTATTTTTTTTGCCTTATTTTGACTTGGCAAGTCAAACTAAAAGACGCCATGCATCTCACTGTTGTAGATGCCGCTGTTAAACTACTGATTGAATCATACACATTCATGTCTTCACCCAAGTATAACGGCAAGCTACCGAGCTTAAAAGCCGGCCAGCGGGCAGTGGCCGCTTTAAGGCAAACAGAAAAGCCCGAGAAACCCTCTTTACTGAAAAACTTTATAGAATTAAATACTGAAGTTCATTGTTTGGCGAATAATACAGGCTACCCCGTTCAGCGGCGGAGTAAGACTCCCTTATGCCTGACCAAGAGCCACAATGGTTCTTGGCCTGAATAAAGTGGCGTTTACACACACTAGGTGCCAGGGCACGGTGCAACAGAACGGGACTCGCTCGGCACTAATATGAACAAACCATTTTTTTCTGATACCTAATTTCGCGAGTATTAAATTTCGCGATTTTTGCGATTCGGAAAAAATCGCAAAATTTAATACTCGCTAAATCTAAAAATCGCCAAAAATCCCGGAAAATTTCTAAAAATCTCTAAAAATCGCGAAATTAAATACTTGCTAGTGGAAGTTTTAGTCCTTAACTAATTGTAGTTGAGCGCTAAAGCGGGTCAGCACTAGGTCCTTGTGTGCACACGTTTTCTGTTAGTTTGGAGGCAATCCAGAGTTAGAGCGATTTTCGTATGACCTTGGAATAAAAAGGCGCGAACAAAACAGAAACAACAAACGAACGGAAATAGAGCGACTTGATTGGTGTATTGAAGGGATACAAACGCACCTGGCTATTGGTTGGTTAAGCGAACGCTCGGCTGAAAAAACTTCATGCCCGAAGAACTTTGTAGAAATCAATCGATACTTTGACGTCAGTCGATGCTTCACGACGTCATACTGCAACACTATTGGCCAATCGAACAATGCCTTCTCCATATTAGGGAGCCATGTTTTGTTCTTTTCATCCACTGGCTGATAAAGCAAATAACAAACACTTACCGAAACAATTTTTCAAGGACATACGAAAATCGCTCTATTTCTTCACGTTTCAAAATGGCGTCTGGCGGAGCGAAATGAACATTTACAGTTACATGTCGGGTACCCATGATGATGTACACAAAGCACCATTTTGTGCGCATGCGGTACCTATACTAGGCACTAGCTCTCGGGCAGAGTACGAGGTGAAGAGTGAAAATTAAAGGAAGATTGTTCCAATTCTCGCGGACCCCTAGGACAGGACCCCTTTTTAATTAGCCTCAGAGCGCAAGCCCTCGGACCCCTCGTTTTTGAGGTCGGAGCCCTCGAGACCTTGAACCTCTTGGGACCCTGACTTCTTTGTTAGCTTAGCTTTATGCTCTACCTCCGCTACCCTCATTGACAACATCTTTGTTAATAAGCATGATCAAGTTGTGGCCAGTGGAAAATTCTATATTTAACAATTAACGAATGACATTGAGTATCTTATGAAGAATTATGAAGATCGAGAAGGGTGTTATCCGTCGAAGCCGTAGGCCGAGGCGGATAACACCCTCCGAGATCTCCATAATTCTTCATATGATACGAAAGCCGAATTCAATAATTGTTTTATTATTCATTCAAAATAATTCCTTGTTTAAAAACGTAGCTAAAACATGCTTACCTCCATCGATGTTAAGTTCATCTTCGATAGTCCACGTTTAGGGCTGTTCAGCTCCGCAAATATTCTCCAAATATCAGATGTCGCCCTTCGAGTTGTCTTCTTGCTGTTCTTGCCATGTTTTTAGCTATTATTTCGCCTAGTTCTTACTCTTGAAACGAGTGAAATTTCCGCCATTTTTGTTTCACAACCAAAACAACTCAACCTCGTCCCCAGGTCTTCTCGGTTAGCGTACTTAACGTGCAAGTAAGCTGCACTTTTGACGTCATCGGTTCATTAATCGCAAAATTCTTCCAAATTTGGTCATCAGTAGCTGGTTATGGTGAATTACGCGTGTGCTTTTAGCCAGTCAGAATCAGGGAAATATTTTGAATGAATAATAATCGTGTCTAAGTACTCGCCAAATGTTATGAGCAATAGACTCGCGAAAACAATAACAGTCTATCTATTTTGGCTAGAGTGTATCCCACTAAACGAAAAATGGCAAAAATCATTCAAAGCTAATGATAGCATTGACGCAAACAATTACAGGCCTATTTCTCTGCTGTTTAAATTTAATAGGATCGTCGAAAAACTTGCCTTTACGAGGGAAAAAACTTTCATTATGCAAACCATCTACTTTCGCCATCGCAATATGGCTTCCGCAAAGTGCATTCAACGCAGCATGTATTTCTCGATATTGTGAATACCATTCAGGCAGACATGGATAAGCGCTTCTTCTCGTATGGTGTATATATTTTCTTGAAAAAGGTCGGATATCGTCGATCATAAAATTCTCTTGCGAAAAGACGAACTTTTCACCTTCAAATGATGTCCCCTCTCCGGGGTTAAAACCACCGAGTCTCGACATTTTGAATGGTTAAGTGTATAGCGGTAGAACGAAATTAAGAAATTATACCCCTCGTTCTTTAGCTTCCTCCCCATCAGCACCCCTCGCCACCTTCCCGGCCTCTCGCTTCCTCCTACGAGTTCTTAAAGAGGACGTTTGTTGTCAAGCAACAATATGTCAATTAAAGAAGCAGTTTTTGAGTGATCCTCTCTTATTACGTTTTGTTCCTTCCTGTTTCTATTTTCACTGTTCTATATCTGTTTTGACACGCTTATTAAAATCTTTTAAATCATTTCGACTGTCAAGAAAATCTTAGCTATGAAATTTTAAAGTATTTAGAACGCCGATTACACGTGGCTGAACTAAAGTTTTAGCCAGATTTCGATTTTGACGGCAGAGCAATAATAAATCTGCAAATAAGTCACCTTTAAATCAAACAAATAACAGGTTCAGTATTTCGATACAAAGGAGCATGATTTCAAAGTTATTTCTCTCTTTTTAGTTAAGAAAGAGACTAGGGTTTTAAACTTGTTTCGATGGAAATTTTTTTTTTGCCATTCCTAAACGATCGAGAGTACTTTGCAAGCGCAAAAAGTATTTGCGTTTCATGAAAATTTCTCATCCTCTTAGAGCATTATGTACATTATTCTTTGAATTTAAGCTGGAATTAATTAAGAAATTAGACGGTTGTTTGCATTTCTCGACGAAGGTGTCAGATGTAAAATTGCCTTTTGTAAGTTTGAAAGAATAAAATCGGCTACTTGCAACGGACTGGCGTATGTGGCAGTTCAGTTCTGCAACCCTCGGTCTTCTTTGTTCGAACCGACAACGTTTTTGATACCCTCACTGTTCAATGACCTCGTCGGGTTAAGGTAAGACTGCTAGGCTGAAAGCACGTTGTAAATTGAAAAAGGCTTTAAAATTTTCGCCTAGAGGTGGGGAATCAGTTTTAAGAAGTGCTTGACCAGCGAACTAGTACTGTTTGCTGATAACGAAAAAGTTAAAAATAAATTGGTAATTTAGTTTTAACAAATTAAAAACGACCTACATTTGCCACACCCTCAGAGGCATATGATGAACAGCACTACAGACTATTGCTGCAAACTTGACAGTACTTCTCAGTAACTTTCGTCTGAATAGCCACACTTTTGGATTTCATACACCGACTCAAGAATTAGAACCACAGTTGAAGAGGATAATAAACAAAACCACTGAATGGCCAGATTTTAGGACTTTATCCACAGAGGCAAAAGTTAGAACCAACTTGTACAGTATATAAACAGTACAACTGGAAAGTACTGCTTAGTAGCTTTCATTTGAGTGGTCACACTTATGATTTCATCCACTGAGTCAACAGTGTAGAATCACCTTAAAAGAGAAATGAACATTATCAACACAGGAAAGTACTGCTCAGGAGCTACCATTTATGGTGACACTTTCCATATTTTTTCGAACGAGCGCACCGTCGATTATATCATTTTATTGCGGCACTGATTTAAGACTACATATTAGGGAATAACACAGTGCACATGCGTTATTGACCAAGCATGAGGCCGAGATGGCTGCATTTGCGTGCGTTTTAATCGGTTGAGACGACGCCAAGGTAAATGAAAACGCAAAAGAGAACAAAGCCAATATCCAGCTATCTTGAAGGGATAAGCTTGGGCAATAAATGATTTATTATGTCTCTTTTCTTGGGGGACCAAAGCGGGAATTCCCAAGCAGGTAAAATATAGGCCTTATCTTACCTGTTCGGGCAGCCAATCAGGACGCACGCCTTCATCTTGCCCGAACGCGGAGCCACAAACATAATAAGAGGGTGTGAATGGGGTTAACCGACTAGCGACAATGGGCGAAAAATATTACTGACTACCGACAAAACGGGAAAAAAATTACCGACTACCGACAGGAAAAATATTAATCGACTATCGACATGGACCGAAATTGTCTTTTTTCAGAAAGAAGAACATATTGTATGTTAAAGATCAACACACGGTTTCACACCGGTATAGATGTGCAGCTTGTCACCCCTTACATTTTTTCTCCAAAAATAATTTAGTACGTAATCCAAAACGTTAGAGTGGGCGTTTCCCTCTGTGTCCAATTAACCTCTCTTCATTGCTTTTTATAGTGCCCTGTAATCAACAGGGCAACCAAGTTCACATTTGCAATAAAAGCTTTGGTGATTTTATTGGTACTATTGAAAGGATCATGTTGAATAAACAAACCAGAGTTAAGAAGGTTTAAGTTCCATCAAATGATGCATTTTTACAAGTTTTACACGTTTTATAGGGTTTAAAGTCTTGAAACTGAGTGAAATACATAACAAATATTATAATTAACATGCATTACCTGGCAATTAATGAATGAGGCTGAGTAGGATATGAAGAATTAAGCAGATCGAGGAGGGTGTTATCCATCGAGGCCGAAGGCCAAAGGCCAAGGTGGATAACACCCTCCAAGATCTGCTTAATTCTTCATATCCTACGAAAGCCGAATTCATTAATTGCTTTATTATTTAATCAAAATAATTCCTAGTTTAAAAACATAGCTAAACCATGCTTACCTGCATCGATGTTAAGTTCATCTTCGATAGTGTACGTTTAGGTTTGTGCAGCTCCGAAATTATTCTCCAAATAGCAGATCGATGTTGCAGTCCGAGTTGTCTTCTTGCTGTTTTTGCCATGCTTTTAACTATTATTTCGCCTAGTTCCAGCTGTAGTTCCGCCATTTTTTTTTTCACAACGAAAATAACTCAACCTCGTCCATAGGTCTTCTCGGTTAACGGTGCATTAACCTGTAGCGGGCTGCATTTTTGACGTCATTTCCTCGTTAAACACAAAATTCTTCCGAATTCGGTCATCAGTAACTGGTGATGGTGAATTATGCGTGTGCTCTTAGCCAATCAGAATTGGGGAAATATTTTGAGTGAATAATAATACGTATTAACTGAGTTTTACCGACTTCCGACAAAGATCGAAAATTTTAACCGACTACCGACAAAGTAACTGAATTTTAACCGACAACCGACAAGTGGACCCCCCCCCCCCCCCCCTCCCCCCCCCCCTAAAAAACATAACCCTTTAAAAACAAATTTTTTATAGAAAAACCGTTTTTTAAAAAACCCTATTTCCTTTCAAAATCACCTCTAAAAATAAAAACCACAAAAAAAAAAATTAAAAAACCCCCCCCCCCCCCCCACCATTCAGACCCTCTAATAATACGTAACCTTTGAAAACGATATTATTATAGGAACAACGTTATTTCAAGAGGCCTATATCCGTTTCAAAATCCGTCTAAACATTAACAACAGCAAAAAATGATATTAGCATTTCAGCATTATTGCTATTAGTCCTATTTGAGAGGTAAGCCTGTTCGGGTAGGCAACCGCCCCGGGGGTAGGGAGGGTACTTGGATAAACTTTTGCTACAAACATTCTGGTAGTTTGCTAACCGTAAATATGAAGAACTTACTTACCCCCCAAAATCCGAAAATGTGCAACCTCGAAAAAACGTAGAGAGAGATTTCTCAATGGCTTTCCTCAAGTTTCTCCACAGCTTTTTGGCAAATTCTTAAATTTGAGCAGTTTTCTATAATCTAACTTATTCTAAGAAGAAGCTTTTACATGTGCTACAATTGTTCTAACATACACATTTCACAGTGTTTATGGTTGAGTGTTATTTATGGAATTTGAATTTCCTGGGTAAAAAGGGATTTCCTAAGATGTTTTGTTCCCATTTTTCCCGTTTCCCTCTTATGTAACATCCCATAAACTTATATTTCGTTTTCACTGGAAACGGTCCAGTGGAAGAAGCCAAGAGAATGAAATGTTATAAAAGACTAAAATATAAACAATTTGTCCGAGTCTCAGGTCTTTGTGGCCCACAGTTTCTGAGTTATTTGCCGAAACGTCTCACGCACCTTTGTGGAGCTTTGTATTGAGACGCCATATTGGTGCACCGTTTTGGTGCACCAGTATAGCCGCCGGAAATCAACAAAAAAACATCTGGAGTTCGCTTTTTCTTTGAAAGCTCTTTCTTTTCACTCGAGAACTAGCATACGTACGCATAAACATATCTTCTAATACTTGAAGTGGTTATATTGCTGAAAATCGAGAGGAGAGACTTTTTTTCAACGAGACAGCTTTCCTATTTTGGTGTCACGCACTGTGAAAACTTGGAAGTTCAAATTGCTGTATTTTCGAAATGAAACATGCCACGGAAATGGAAACTTGTATAAAAATTTACTTTTTGTTTATCTTCAACCTAGTGTAAATAAGGATTCGTAAAACCTCGCTATTTCTTGACTTTACAATTTGATGACGTCACAGTGAAAACCATCTAAAAGATATGCTACTTTCTGAAGGACCTGTAACGACACTCAAAATCGCCGCCATCTTGGACTTAAATGAAAATTTGTTTATGCTTATCGTGTAAACATTTAGCCTTCGCCACAGACGGAACAGGCCATTTCCGAGTTCCCTTCAGCCTCTGTATCAAAATGAGGTTAAGTGCTAAGCGTTTGATATGGAAATGATTTTTCATTCGCATGCAAATAAAACTCATTTTCACAAAAAAGGTTGTGCACTTAGCCTCATTTTGAAAGTGAGACTATTTGGAACTCAGAAGTGGCCTACTGCACTTCTGGCTAAGTCCGTCTGCAAAACAGTACCGAAACGACACAAACATAAACAAAAAGTTTGCGTTGTAAAGACAGTGAAACCTCTATTAAGCGGACACTAAGGAGGGGGGCGTAAGGGGGGTACGAATACCGCAAAACCGCACAGAAATAGGTATAAATACCGCACAGAATAACATAAGAAAACCGCAAACCGCGTTGAAATTACCCGAAAATTTCTAATTACCGCAAACCGCTTGGTTTTGTAAAACCGCATTACCGCAGGTTAAAATAAAAATTACCGCAAAACCGCACCAAAAATCGAGCAAAACCGCATCACCGCAAACCCTTACACCCCCCTCACTAAGCTGGGTCCAGAAATTAACGTCCTATGTTTCCCTTTACAACGAACCCCTATTCAGCGGACACCTCTATTAAACACTAAAATAAATTATATTTCGTTAATTTCTATTGTTAATAATCTCTTTTTAGCGGACACTGGACTGAATTGACTAAAGTAGTATTGGATCACGTCCCGTCTTGCAAAAAGTAAAGCACAGCTTCCTTAGCTCCCTTAACAAGGTGGAAATTTATCACAGTACAGAGTAACCGTTGAAAATTAATCGTTAACTAACATTGCGCAATTTTTACAAACCTTAATTAAGCGGACACCCTCTATTATTAAGGGGACACTTGGAAGGGTCCCGAAGGTATCCGCTTAATAGAGATTTCACTGTACTACCATTTCATAGATCACACATCAGAAGAGTTACATCCCTTTTTCGAGTAGTTGGCTGGAAAACGTTCTCAATATAATAGAGCCGGCAAGAGCTTGTTTTCTTCATAAAAGTCACCAAATTTTTGTTTTGCATTAAATTGACAGAAAAACACTGACGGACATGTATCTGAGCATTTACTTCCTTGTCACTTTGGTCCAACTCCATGCATCTGATACATGTAAGTACACAGATTCAAGTCATTTGAGTCAGAGAAAGAGATTAGATTTGTATCAACTTCGTCCTCAGGACCTTTTCGTTTTTCGATATGGCAGCGGCGGAGAATGTAACCTCTGCAGTTTACATTGTATTGGTAAAACTAAGCGACGCTCAAGGTCAGATTTAACTACCACAGACGTCCAGTCGACAAAACTTACATTAAATCTAAACCCCTTATTGTTTCCAAACACTTTCTCTCTAACTCGGACCATTCTCACACTGACATGCAGCAGTAGCCCATAACCCGGAGCGAGCAACATCCATGTGCTTGTGTCACGGCGTTTTCAGGGTCCAGTTTATTTTTAGGATTTTGGCGTCGATTTTGAATATCTTTTAAATTCCACAAACCAGTCAGCAAAACCTACAGACCTAAAAATTTTAATTTTTTGCCTTTTAATAACGTTTGGTTTTCCTTTTGATATCTTATGCTTCGAATGCGCTCATATACATGGTGGAGATTCTATTTTCGCTGGAAAAAGTGCCCTAAAATGTGTCTAAAAATAAACTGATCCGTAAATACGCCGTGACATAGGCCTAGTATGGGAGTTATGGGCTCCTGCATGCAGTTACTTACACTAGAAACTAGTAATAACCAAAGGTTACGGAGATGCGCGCGACGACGATCGAAAGTCAAACCACTTTTGCTCCACGGCTGTGGTTTACATAAGTTTCACGTGACAGATGTACAAAACACACGTAATCAATTACAAGTGATAGAAGTTCCAAACGCGCGCGATAAAATTGCGTTAAGTGCATTCCATTTGTTCTTAGTATGCGATTATGCAAGCTACATACATGCGACGCATGCGTAATAACAACCTGGAGATTAGGATTGCGGGCTCCTCTTGTCGTCCGCAATAAGCTGCAATAATTCCGCATTCCTCACGTGACTCAGGTCTGCAAAGCAAGGAAGTCACATTTGATAGATAAGACCATGACTCTTGAACCAAATGGTTTAAAACACCGTGACAAATTGTTATCTATATCCTTATTAGTTTTTTTATTCTCTTCTATGTTGTACGTAAATTGAGGGCCTCAATGGGGTTAACCGATAGGCGTAAAACGGCTAAAAATTTAGTCGATAGCCGTAAAAATTGAAAAATGTTAGCCGTTAGCCGTAAATAGGGTAAAAAAGAGTTAACCGTAAAAGAAATTGCTCCCAAGATTTGCCACTTTTAAGGAAGGTACTAAAATCACTTATGGCTGCGTTTTTTATTTCGCGGTTAGTTTGGCTCCGCACGCACGTTAGGTAAAGCGCCTTTTAGGTGAAGACCAAGACCCATTTCCATTTCCGCCGCTCTCTCGGGGAACTAATTTTTTTTCCATTGCGAAAGTGTGGCTTCTTGCTGGGGATTAATATTTGCGATTTTTAGGAGGTCGTGCCCTCGAAACACTAGTGAAACAACACAAAGAGATCTCACTGTTTGTAGAACAAGTTGCCGATAAACAACATTTCCCTGTTTTTCTCTGACGCTACGGTAGACGTTGCCATGCCTAGTCCCTGTACGGCGTCTTCCCACGCAATACTCGCTCGGACCACGTGACCCGAAACGCATTAGCCGCGCGAAATAATGAGGCCTACGGACAAGGCAAAACGGCTGACAGTGGTTCCGAACAGTCCTTCGCTACCATTAAAAACACTGGACACGGGAATTTTGTTATTGGCCGTTTTCACACTAGAGCTAGAAACGGATTATCCGTCTGAGACTAGCCTGTGTAAAGTTGCCCCCTTCCCGACAGACACCCCCTCTCCGATTTTTTTTCTGCGACATTTCATTTTTTTTTATTGAGACATTCTCCATTTATATAAAATTGTGATTGCTACATAAGTTCAGTAACATCTGTAAACCTGAAGAAGGCTGGTATGGCCAGCTGAAATATTGTTATAAAAAACAATACACGTTGTTTTAAATCAGCTTTGCAGTAGTCTTTGGACTTCTCGTTCTTAATTAATATTTAACTTTTTGAAACAAAAGAAGTTAATTTTTAACTTTTCTGTTAACCGTAACTGAAAAAAATTAGCCGATAGCCCTAAAAGAGCCAAAATTTTAGCCGATAACCGTAAATGCCACCACCCCATTGAGACCCTCTAAATTCCATGAGTCTTTTTTAAACAATTTTTATCGCGACATTCTCCATCTAACTAATAGATGGGGCCATGATTAGTTTTACTATAATGTGCCCTAAATTCTCCATTCTAATTTTCTTCTTTTATTATTATTATTGTTATTATTATTATTATTATTATTATTATTATTATTATTATATATAATTATTATTATTATTACACTACGAGCCTCAGCGCTCCGGAAGTTAAAAAATTCGTACCGTCTGGTTGCTATGAAGTGACGTAATCATCCAGTTGAGTATCCATCACCGTGACACTTTTGCGGTCAACTACCGCAGCGCTCGTAAAGTACTTTAATTAAAACCGTGTTCAAAACCCTGTAGGAAGTCTGTTTATTTTTGAGTCGATTAATGCACTGCTGACTTTCACGAGGTCAACTTTTGCATAAATTATCAAACATTATGTTAAGTGGGAAATCTACCTATGGTTCGCTGGAGAAGCAACTTCTATAGCGGCGCAAGACAAATGTTTCGAGAGTCGAGGATGTGCTCACAAACTATTCACTATGCGACGAAAGGAGAAATCACTGGCATGATAGCTGCATGTAATGGTAATTTTATCAATCCAGGTCGCGCCGTTTTCGCTCGAGAACACTGTGACAACCTCATTTGGCGCGCTTCTCAATACTTCCAAAACATGTTGTAATCGGTAAGTAGACTTAAGCACTTAGTATCGCCAAGCCATTCGAATCAGTGTATACCCAATTCTTTGTCTGAAGATTCTCGCAAACACATATACCAAGTAAATCTGGATGGAAGAGGAAATTGTCTCCCTAAACGAAGCCAGATTATATTTTGAAGGATGGCGGCACAATTCAACGCGTCTTCCAGGTCAGCCCTAATTTATAGTTCGTAAGAGTATGAATTGCGATCTCCTTATTTTCGCTTAAGCTTTTTTTGATAAAACTTCAGTAGAAACAAAACAACGCAGACATGACATTCTCCTGCATGAGACACAATCGGCTGAAGGAAATATCTGTTTACAAGTCGGTTAAATTATCCATTCTTGCGCACCGCAAAATCAGCTAAAATCGGTCGCTGGAAACCTGGCATATTATTAAGCCTGAGCGCTTCTAAGAATAACACGTTTAGAACTTCGACGCGTAGAAAAAAAAGGCAGTTGTTCCATATCCTTTCTGGTTCATCCAGGTAGAAGTCCTGGCATATTATTATGCCTGAGCGGATCTGGGATATATAACACGTTTAGCATTTCGACCCGTAGCCGTAAAAAAAAAAANCTAAGCCGTACATTTGTTGAATGCCGCACTTTTAATTAAATTTCTCGCCCTAGAATGATGACATGATGGCGCGAAAATTGACGCGTCTATCGTATTAGATGCGAAATATGATCAGAGATAAATGGAATAGTGAAGGTTACAAGCTTCTGAGTATCCAGCTGAGATAGGGGACTTTTAGTCCCCTATCTCAGCTAGATAAACAAAATTTTTTTGGTTGCTAAGACGGTGCGGCTCGTTATGTATGCACACGTAGTTTAAGCAACTTTGTACTAACTGATATTGTATAGTACAACTAATGTATTGTTGATTTTGTACAACTATTGTATTATTGTACAACTAATGTATTATAGGATGGAGTAAAAAATAAAATACAAAAATACAAAATACAACTAATATAAATTTTAATTCCCCCTATCAAAAAGTCAGTAACATCAGTAAACCTGAAGAAGGCTGTTATGGCCAGCCGAAATATTGTTTGAAAAAAGCAATAAATGTTGTTATCAGCTTTGCAGTAGTCTTTGGACTTCTGGGTTTTTGTTCTTAATATTTTAGCTGATTAGATTTCTTTTCTAGAGATCCAACGTTGACAGAGGGTTGACAACCAGCGGGATCTTCGTCCACGATTTTTGCAGTTAATTTGTTTATCATGGCGGCAAGGGTATGCAGAGCGCCGAATGACTCTGAAGTTTAGTGAAGTAGGGAGGAAACGGAATGAATTAATACGTTTCAGGTCAGGTTTTCCAGTATAATGACCCTAAATGGAAACTGATTCACCCTTTTGTATAACCCTAAACACGAAACTTCAGAGTCATTCGGTGTTCGGAGAATGCAGAACGTCGAATTACTCTAAAGTTTAGTGATTAAGGTTAGGAAACTGAGTGAATCAAGTTTCAGGTCTGTTTTCCCAATATTATGACCCTAAATGGAGCCTGATTCATTCAGTTTCCTAACCCTTATTACTGAACTCAGAGTCATGCGGCATTCTGCATACGGCGTTTGGTGTTCTGCAAAATCAGGCGGCAAAATACCCCTGCCGTTATCATGACGGAGAATATGTCGCCATATTGGAAAACGAGAAGAGCCTGGGGACGGGGTTGGAATTGTATTGAACATACGCAACTTCCAGAGTTACACGATCAAAGGAATGGCCCCAATCTTGACCCTGTCATGAAAAAGTCTGTTAGAGAATAAAGGGGTGCGAAGTTTAACTTATCATTTATCAATTTATTTATCTGTACAGTGGCAGCGTTGCCTCACGTAAAATGCACTCGAACTTACCATAAGCTGGGTTGTTATAAAAAGGTGTCCAGTTCCTCGAACCCCTGGCAGCTGTTGATAACGGACAGAAGTGACAGTCCTGACGGATACCTTTTAGACTGGCGTAAATGGGAGGAGTCGATTCACAGGTACGTTTGTGAATTCTGTATCAAAACTTCTTATACCAAGTACCGAAATTGTGGAACTCTTGTTTTTGTTAATATAGGAGATCAGTTGGTTAGCAAACGACTTCTCAATTGCTTTGCTGATGAAAGTAAGATTTGAAACAGTGCGATAGTTTGAAAACTGCGCATGACTCGGGGAAGGCCCCTTACTGAAGTAGAGGGCGCGTAGCTTGGCAACTTTTAATTGAGAGGGCATTTGGCTAGATTGCAGCGAAGTATTAATAATCTTAGAGATAAATGGTATCAGTGTACCCAGAGCTTTTCTTGTGACATAGACAGGAAGAGGGTCAAGATCACATGATTTGGAAGTTAATTTCACAACACATTTGCGGACTTCATCAACGGTTACCATACTGAATTTATCAAACTTATAAGGACAGACCCGCTTGACTTTGGGAACTAAGTGGATGGGAGCTTCACATCTAATATAAGTCGACCAGTATATTAGTTGTGTTATTGGAAATGAACTCGACTTTCTATCCAATAGATTGTCATTTGTCTTGAAAAGAAGTTTGTAGTCCGACTGATTATTATCACTGAATAGTGAAGTGTAATACTGAAGTGTTTACTCGGAAGAAACAATTAACTTGTAGACGGCACGGCATTGATCAATAAACAACTGGCGATTGATCAGAAGTTTAGTTGTTCACCAGCCATCGCTGTTCCAATCTCCTGATATATTTGTTCACGCTGTGTATCTCCTCTGAATACCAAGGTGTAGCATGACGCAGGGTAACGGTTTTGGTTTTTACAGGAGCACGGATGGCTAAATGATAGACTTGCTATAGGTCGACCTCTCATAAGTTCTTAAAAGTGAACGAAGCGAGCTTTAATGCATGAGGTCGCGCAGCGATAGACTACGAGCAGTCTCTCTTTTTTCTGTAGTCCGTCGAGCAAAACGCGAGACACTCAAATGGCCACGCGCGTGACTGATGGCGCGAGACGGTCGCGCGTCCCGCGGCTTCGCCACTCCCGCGCGCGTGCATTGCTCTCACTAAATCTGAAGAAAAAGAGAGACTGCTCGCAGTCTAGCGCAGCGACCGAGCGAGCGACTAACCAGTAAAAAAAATAAAGGACTTTTATTAAGTCTAGGATGGCTAGAATGGAACTTGGAACGTCGTTATAATGAATGATAAGATAGTCAAGGTACGGAAGCGGTGTAGCAAAACACTCGGGAAGATTAGAATTTGTGACATCAGAACCAAAATTATCAAGGCAATAGAACGAAGCTTTCTAAAGGTAAGCCTCCTTGTCAAACATTGGCTTTTTGAGCATAACGGCGGCGTGATCAGATATAAAAAAGGGAGAATCAATTCATAAATTTGAAACAATGTTATCATCAGATCTAGTGATTACAAGATCGAAAGTGTGACCTTTCGTATGTGTAGATCCGTTTATTGTTGATTAAGCTTGAACTAAGATTGATTTCCAGATTATTACATCCACTTTGAAATCACTGGCTATCCGTGCAATCTGATTGGCTCTCAGCAGTGTGATTTATTCCTAAATCGCACCATTTTTTGCTCTAAATCGCATCTGTTCCAAATCGCGTCATTCATGTTCTAAATTAGCCTTAATTTCATGCGATTACTTCGAGTCGTTATTACTCCCTCAGTAACGTCTGAATCGATCGGCCGTTAATGCCGTCCAGTGACGTCACTACTCCTTGACCTTTCTTTTAATTCATGCAAAAAGTAAAATACGATTTTCACGTGGCAAACCGAGAAATACCGTTTGGAACTGTCTGCATGATACAGAACTGCTTTATTTTTTCGATCGTAATTCATGTTTAACGTTCAAACTATCAACTGCGTGCAGTACAACTCTGAACCGGTTGTACTAAATTCTATAATCAAACTCGGTGGCAATCACGCAATGAAATAAACACACACACGGAACACTTAGTTCAAAAACAGAATGATTTGCTTTAATTAAAACGAAGCTATTTGGTCCTTAACGAAGACAAAAAACAAGGAGACAAGAAAGAAAAGCTAACAGAATCATTACACCTGACGGTAAAAATAGCAAGAAGGTCGAATTATAACATTGACCTCAGAAAACTTCGCGTAAACAAAATCACCGGCCGCCGAAAGCACAAAGCGGCTCTAAATGAAAAACCTACCGACTCTCCGCAATGATTCTTCATTCGCAGTTCAATTTAGCATTTCGGTTTCGAAGACAAGGGCAATTTTGCTGTTTAAGATAAAGATTAAGCTTATCGAAATGTTTGGACTAAACGAAAGAACGCCAGGGATTTGATCCGCTGAATATCAAGCGACAATCCCGCTAAAATTTTTCATAATTATACATAATTATGCGAATGTTTAGACAATCAACCAATCAAAATCACTACCCGGTTTTCGGGTAGTGAGTGACGTCACTGGAAGGCATTAACGGCCGGTCGATTCAGACGTTGTTGGGAGGAAAAAACGACTGGAAGCAACCGGATGAATTTCAGGCTAGTTCTAAATCGCATCATTTCTGTTTTAAATCGCACCATTTTTGTTCTATATATCGCTTCATTTCTGTTTCGAATACAAAATGAGATGTAAAAGCCTTTTTGTTTCGGCTTTTTAACAAACCGGCTACTCGATCAATAAAATATTAGTACTGACTAAATTCTGCGATTTCAAATGGATGTAATAAAGTGGTAATTGAACTTCGTGTCGTGCAATTTTGGTCTGAAATCATACTTGTGATTTCAAATCGAACTCGCGCTGCGCGCTCGTTCTATTTTGAAATCACGCGTATGATTTCAGACCAAACTGCACTCCACTCAGTTCAATTACCATTATCAATTACAATAGTTCTTAGTTGATACCAAACTGTCGAGATGGAAGCAGAGGTAAAAATAATTTTTATGAATTGAAAGACAAAAGTTTTAAAAAGGGCTTAAGGCTGAGTTGCGTTTAAGCGTACGAGAGCCTGTTTGCTGCATGCCATTGGCCGGGGGAACACCCGCGTGGAGACTGGGGGAAGACTTTGTGTGCAGAGGATGGTAGCTATCCATCTTAACTGACAATTTTGCACTGTCTGTTTCAATGACAGCCTGGCCTGCAGGTGTGCTGAGGTCGCACGGAGGCAAAATTTCACAGTGTTTGGACTGCAGAACTATGCAGAATGTTGGAGCGGCCCTGATGCGGAAAAATCATTTAACAGAAATGGAGGCTCAGACAGATGTTTGATGATTCTTAAATTGCCTCCAGATTGCAACATGACTGATCCCAGGGAATGTATGGGGATGGATAATGTGAATTTTATGTACAAACTCGGTAAGTTTGTTTCAGCCCATACGTGGACGGCGTGGCGGTTATTTTGAGAAAGCTTAGAAGATTTTCTAACCGATCCCCCCGCCCCCCAATTCATCCTACCTTTTCAAAACTGATTCCCCCATAAATTCAGTTTACATATTGTGAAAGCTACCCCACAGCCGAAGCCGAATCCTGCCGAAGTTCACCACATACTTTATCTGTAGTCGATACGGTAAAACGGGCAACAAAAAACGTGCAACTTCTTTTGAAATATTGCTGCAAAAAGTTGAATGAGTTGAATAGCGATGTTGCGCGTTTTACCACCCATGTTCGAACCTTTCTTGCGAGGTTTGTTTCGTTGGTGGTAAAACGCGCAACATCGCTATTCAACTCGTTCTGCAGCAATGCTGCAAAACAAGTTGCACGTTTGTTGTTGCCAGTGTTACTGTAGCTTTACGGCTTTTGTATTCAATATCATTTTACGCTTGTTACTTCTTCGTACTACGTTCATAAAATTTATTGAAATAACCCTCCAGAAATGATCCCCCAAAAGCAATCAAGATTCTGAAAATGATCCCCCAGCAAAATGTCCGACCCCTTCTCCTCGCAGGTAATAAACGACCAGCCCCTTACTAAGCGAGGTTTATTCCCTTTTTCTAAGAAAAAAAAACCCTAGGGAAGAGGTTGTGTTATTAGGAGATGGTTATTAGGGGCTTAAAACACATTCAACTGTCAACATAGACGTTAGCAGAGATCCGGACAATCCTGAAATCTCAAGGCTCACATCTTTATAGGATGTTTCTTAATTTTACTTCTGATTTCAACTGTGTTTCAGATGTAGACCACTGCAGGAAACACCCATGTAAGAACGGTGCAACGTGTGTCGCTGCAAAGCCATTTGGATACAAATGTGATTGTACGCAAGGCTTTACAGGCAGTCACTGCGAAACAGGTTTGGCTCCAACAAAGTATACGCCAGCTTAGATAAAAATAATAATAACAGGAGCCCATAACCCGGAGCGACCAACTCCCATACTAGGCCTATGTCACGGCGTTTTTACGGACCGGTTTATTTTTAGACACATTTTAGAGCATTCGCTCCCGCGAAAATGGAATCTCCGCCACGTTTATAAACGCATTCGAAGTATAAGATATCAAAAAGGAAAACGTAACGTCATTAAAAGGCAAAAATTATCATTTTTAGGTCTGTAGGTTTTGCTGACTGGTTTGTTGGACTTCGTGCCAAAACCGTTCTAAAAATAAACTGGTCCGAGAAAACGCCGTGACATGAGTACATGGAAGTTGCTCGCTCCGGATTATAGGCCCCTGATAATAATAAAAAAAACAAATTACAGTGAAACCTCTATTCATGGGTCACCCTCGGGACCGAGGCAAGTGTCCCTTGGATAGAAGTGTCCCCTGAGTAGAGGTTGGTCTGGGGTTTCTTAATAATTAATCAACAAAGACAGCATAAAAATAATCATCATTAACTAATCTCTGCGACATTATATGTTGAATTCACACAAGTGCATTACATCGATTCAAGTTAGATAGTTCAGCTTGTGAAAGCTTTCATAACTGTGAGTAGTGTACATTAATTCAAAGATATCAACCCTAGCTCTCTGTGGTCAGTCACTTTTTGAGTGCCAAGGTGTCCCTTGAATGGAGGTTAAACCCGGGTTTCCGGGCCCAGAAAAACTGTCCCTTTCCCCTGAATAGAGGTGTCCGTTCAATACTAGGGTAATAGATACAAAGATTATGTGAACATTTCTCCTGGACCGAATTTGGTGTGCCGTGAATGGAGGTGTCCCTTGAATAGACGTGTCCCAAGGAGAGGTTCCACCGTCAATAAGTAGGGTTAAATGCTCATAACAGTTTCGATCTGTGTTCTTTTAGGAAATTGTTGTTACAATGAAGCTTGTAAAATTGTTTCAAACCTGTGCCGTAAAAACAAATTTTGAACGATTTTGAGCAGCTCATCATCATTAAAAGGCAAAAATTATCATTTTGAGGTCTGTAGGTTTTGCTGACTGGTTTGTTGGACTTAAAAAATATTCTAAATTCGCTCCTAAACCGTTCTAAAAATAAACTGGTCCGTGAAACGCCGTGACACGAGTACATGGAAGTTGGTCACTCCGGATTATGGGCCCCTGATAATAATAAAAAAACAAATTACAGTGAAACCTCTATTTAGGAGACACCCTCGGGATCGAGGCAAGTGTCCCTTCGGGATAGAAGTGTTCCCTGAATGGGGGTTGAGCTGGGTTTTCTTAATAATTAACCAACAAAGAAAACATAAATTAACAATGATCATCACTAACTAATCTCCGCGACTGTATATTTTGAATTCACACAAGTGAATTACATCGATTCAAGTGAGAAAGTTCAGCTTGTGAAAGCTTTCATAATTGTGGGTACTGTACATTAATTCAAAGATATCAACCCTCTTTGTCAGTCACTTTTTGAGCGCCAAGGTGTCCCCTGAATCGTGGTTAAACCCGGGTTTCTGGACCCTGAAAAACTGTCCCTTTCCCCTGATTAGAGTTGTCCGTTCAATACTAGGGTAATAGATACAAAGATTATGTGAACATTTTTCCGGGACCGAACTTTGTGTCCTCCCAAGGAGAGGTTTGACGCGATACCAGCAGGTTGGCATCCTCGGAGACCCAGGGGCGGTCAGTCGGGTCGGGTAAAACAGCGTCGAAAGTTTTCAAGAAAGCGGGAGAGAGCCCCTGGGATGCCACTCTTAACGATCCAGTTCCTCAACTCATTCGAATGCTTGTCCCATTTTGGCACTTGCACAAGTCAAAGCATATCGTCACCCAGTGTAAAGGAATCCGGATTCTAGAATCCGGGAAATTTGTGCTTGTGGTGGAATCCGGGAAAAGATTGCTTATGGAATCCGCAATCCTACACTATGGAATCCTTAATCAACTAAACGAATCCGGAATCCCACTTAATCCAGAATCCAAGTTCCACTGACAAACACGGGAATCCAGTACCTTGAAATCCGGAATCCACAGCGTGGAATGCAGAATCCAAGACTGTCCTGGATTCCTTTACATGGGGCGAATATCGACTTCACATACGGTGTTTTGAGTTGGCATGAGTTATTGCAGACACTGTCCTCATGCTTCAGACCAAAAATTTCTAAACTGATCCTTGAGATACCAATTAAAATAGGATAGCTTAAAGAAGATATTTATTATTTTGTTATTGCTGTTTTTTCTCTGAGACGTCAACGAATGCAACAGAAGGCCTTGCAAAAATGGGGGAAGCTGTTTTAACAAACCAGGAAGTTTTGACTGCTTTTGTCGTAAAGGATATCAAGGCAAACTCTGTGAAAAAGGTGAGGCAAAATTCTTCACGATGTTCCAAAAATATGACAACCGAGAGAGAATACAGCGTTGCTCATCCGTTTCTTAGTTTTATATTGGTTTAAAAGCTTAGATCAAATTCATACAAAGTTCTTGTACTGAATTTGCTTTGACATGGTCTGATCATTTCGAAAACTTTTAAATATCTTCGAACCGGAAGGGGATAATTATAGTAGTGGCTGGGGGTGTGGGCGAACTTCAAAGGAAGGTAAAAATTAGATGTCAGTTCCCGGCCGAGAGAAGTCTCTTAATAAAAATGAGGAGGGCAGCAAAAGTGGAGTTGAACAGAGAAAAGTTCGATAAAACACTTAAGATAATAATAACGCTGTGAAGGGGCGCTTCTATTGAATACTTGGTACTTGAAACAATATATTTCTAACCACTGCTGGCAAATTAAATACCTGCATACAAAAATTAAATGATATCAAATGAAAATGATTAACTGATCAGAACTTTAAAAAAGTGACATGATCCCCACCCCCCCCAACAAGGGTAACAGGTCAGTGCACGCCCCATTTTGGTGGCTGTCATAAATGGCATGGTTTTTTCCAATAGTGCTGTTTGGAATGTGGGAGTGTGACATTTTTACGTTGGTTCACCTGGTTTGGTGGACCTACAGATCATGCCCTAGCTAGGATTCTCGACAGTCGAGCTGTTTTGCAATAAACGATTTCTCCATGTTTCACTAAAAATTTCGGACAATCTGCAGACACTGCCAGAGACACTGTCTATTCAAACGTTTTAAAAGAAATCTCTCTCTTCACAGGGACAGCACAGAATAAAGACGAAAACGTCTATATTATTCATGCATGCTATATCCCAAATAACGTTTAATAAAGCAGGATTCAAATATCTCGTCTGTAACCACGTTTACAAACCTTTTATTTTGTTAGTTTTGTTTGTTTGTTTCTTTTTCAGACGTAAACGAATGTGTTATGACGCGATGCCAAAATCAGGGAACCTGCGTGAACACAGTAGGCTCGTTTAAGTGTCAGTGTAAACCTGGATTTACTGGGACATTTTGTGAAAACGAGAGTATGAACCAAACTCATTAGTTTTCGTGTTTTATCAGTAGTATTATCTCAAGCCTTCTTGTGTTTGATCACTTCTCGGTGCCCGCTGGATATCAGATAACAGACGTCTTATTGTGTCTGTTTGTTATATCCTGGGCTTTGGAATCCGTAATTCACCTCAAGGAATCCGGAATCCCGCTAAAGAATCGCATTCCAAGTTCCATTGAAGGGGATTTCGGAATCCAGAACGTGGAATCCGGAATCCACAGCCTGGATTCTAGAATCCAAGACTGTCATGGGGCGATATATCGTTCCCCACTGTTTGGATGATCGTGACGGATAAAACACTCTTTCTTGTGTTTGATATATCACTTTTCATTGTTTGGAAATCGGATCAAACAATCTTTCAAGTGTCTAATATATTGCTTCTCACTGTTTGGATATCAGATAAAACGCTCTTTACTGTGTCTGATATATCACTTCTCCCTGTTTGAATATCGGATGAAACAATCTTTGTCGTGTTTGATATATCACTTCTTACTGTTTGGATATCAGATGGAACACTCCATCTCGTTTTAGATATATCACTTCTGGGTGTCTGGATATGAGATGAAACCCTCCTTTTCGTGCTAGATATACCACTGTACTTCTCACTGTTTGAATATCAGATAGAACATTCCGTCTCCAATTTGATAAATCATCATGAAAAAAGGTGTGTTTATCATTTTAGGCTCATGTGTGGGAAAGGAAAGAGACTTAATAATTATTTTTGGGGGCTTTTGCCTTTACTAGGTGTCTGTGACCAGAAGGGGGTTTACGACCTCGGTTTGATCATCGATGGTAGTGGCAGCCTGGGGAAGAAGTTTTCAACAACAATTTTTCTTGTTGGCCTTATTAATCAATTCAGAGTCAGCAAAAATGAAGTACGCTTTGGAATAATTGCTTACGGCAGCAAACCTGAATTGGTTTGCCAGTTTTCAGACATGATGTGTCATCACCGTGCAATGGATGTAAAGATCATGGTTATGAAAATGGAATTCCCGGATGGGGAGAGGAGAACTGACAAGGCACTAATGAAGGCAGGGAAAGAATTGTACAGCAGCAGTGGTGGCCATAGAACTGGAGTTCCCAGTGTGTTGGTGGTGATCACAGATGGAAAGACGGTGCCAGGGAGTCAACCTTACAGTGACGTTCTACAACCTTTAAAGGTAGACAAATACAGTTAAAACCCGCATAGCAGAACCTGGTAACCTACAGGTTGAAAGTTGGCATTTAAATACACAAAAATATAAGCACCTGTTCAGCCTGGTAAAGAAAATGAAGTTCTTGAAGTTCTTATACAAAAAAGAAATCACCCCAATTTTTATGGTCAAAATTCTGGATTTTAATTGTGAGAAATTTCTGACAAAAAGTTGTGTTTTCTTTGATTTATATTTGTTTGGATTTTCACTAGAAATATGTTTTCCATAAACCATAGTAGCACAATATTTCTGCCAATGGTTACACTACGACAACAAGAACCTATTAAGAACCTTATTAGCCTGAATTGTGAAAAACTGCCCTGAAATATAAGAACCTGTTCAGCCTGGCAAAGACTTGGCAACGTGGCTGAGCGGTTAGAGCACTGGACTTGTAATTCGGAAGCCCCGAGTTCAAGTGCCGCCCTGACCGCTGGCTGGATTTGTTCGCGGTAATCGCGTGTTCAGATCCTTTTTACTGTTCAACAACCTCGATTCCAAGTTTTTTTTCTAACTCATATATTGTATCGAGGTTGTAACACAGCATGTACGATAATGTTTATTTTTGTTTATTTTATACCGCGGCAGTGTTAGCTCAGTCGGTAGAGCGTGTCGACTGCAGAGCGGGAGGTCGCGGGTCCGATTCCTGGGGCCGGACCAATACTCAGGGTCTTAAAATAACCGAGAAATGAAGGTACTCCTTTTGCACTGCAACAGGCTAGACCTTCGCGTGGCTCTGATGACCACGGAAAATGGCGGTCCCGTCTCCAGTTGGAGACGTAAAATATAGTGTCCCCAATTAGTACTTTCGTGCTAAATACATTGACACTCAAAAAGAAGTGCATCTTTTTTTTCAGCGCTGGTTAAACAAAAAGCGCACACAAAAAAAACATTTAACGACACATATTTAGTTATGTACGGCATTAAAAGTGCCGTTTTGTCAACTTTCACACCCTCCCGCTTGTGTTTGACAAAGACCTTGTTGTAAGCTGTTTTCAATTTGACCAACTCTGGTCAACATTGTTTACTGTGGAAATTGTCAGAAAAAAAAACGTAAGTAGTGCAGAATGAAAAATCACGTAAGCTCTTAAGAACGGTTCTGAGGATAATTAATGGTTTAACACCGCAGTTTAACTTAGACGTCGCTTAAACACCAAAAAGGTTCTTTGTTACTTGATATATAGCTATGTTTCGTTCGTCTGACCATATTAAAAATGTATCCCTGCAGAAGTGACGCGACCTATCCATAAAGTCAGCTAGAATTGGTATTATGTTTTAAGCATCAAAATAACGGGGAGGAAAATCGCAGGCTCATACGTCCTATTTTCTTTCAAAACGGTATCTGCTGTTCACCGATATTTGCGGTAAAGAATTATTAATGAGAGCACCAGAGCTAAGAATAAGGTTTTCAAGGTAAGAGGGCTAAACACTGACTAATTTCTTAAGCACCCCAAAAAGGTAAACCGCCCTCGCCTTGGGCAGACCCCTCGCCTTCGGCTTGTATAAATAAAAATTAAATGAATAAAATTTCCGTTATTTACCATCTGCAGTATTTATAGCACTAATGATAGACGGGCCGAGCAAATGCCTGAAACAAATAATCTAAATCAAATATAATTTTTACAAGAACTGAGGGAGCGCATTCTCGCGCGTTGATTGGTCGAGAGTTATGGTCTATGACAGTATAAGACCATGGAAATGACGAAACATGTCACGCAGTGCCGGTTGTTTTGTTTTTGGTTTTCGTAAAAATAATTTTACTCCTCAACATGGACAAAGAACAACCAAATTTTAACATAGCGCGAAATTTCTGACAGTGAGTTGGTGCTTAAAGCTGCAAAGGTAGAGCAAAGATACGCAAAACAAGAAGAAAAACGTCGCTTCGCGCAGTTGGAGGAGGACGACTTCGCAGGAAACTAAAAATAAATGTTATTGTAAAAAACAAATCGACTACAATTTTTTATGGTCTACACTCTTATAGCCCATAGAAATGACGCCATAAAACGTTCAAAACTTTGCATTGAAACCACTCGCCTGCGTCTCTTGGTTCCACTTGAGTTTTGAACATTTTATGACGCCATTTCTTTGGTTTATAAGAGTGTAGACCATGGGAAATTGTGGTCGATTTGTTAAGGAGTTAAGAATACCAACGGGCCGGAGGCAAACCAGTTGGCTATTTACAAGCGTGCTCGAGGATTTGAACGCGGGACTACCGAGGACAAATCCAGTTAGCGGTCAATCACACCATGTAATTGATTCAACAGTCGCACAGTCAACTCTCGCCTTGCGGACACTTCGCTATAACGGACTCTCGCTAATGAGGACACTACCTCGAGGTCCCTACAGTGTTCGCTATAAAGGGAGTTGACTGGAGCGAGTCCAGCGCTCTAACCGCTCGGCCACGCTGCCTCCGTCTTTGCAATACACCTATGTTTACTGTCACCTAATAAACTGAATGTGTGTACATTTATCAGGATAGTGGCGTGAATATCATCGCTGTTGGTGTGGGGAATAAAGTCACCACGAAAGAGTTAACTAAAATCGCCATGAATAGACCGGAACGTGTCATTCAGCGTCCCACAATCGACGACCCCAACTTGATTGAGGACCTCCGCAACATGATTGAGGACATTTGTTGAACACCAAGCAGGAATCAATTCTTCAAACAGGGATCAAACTCAACGGATATATCCATGGGGCAATTTTAAAAACAACAGATGGGGAAATGCCATGGGGTGGATCAGAACATATGATCAGAATATTAACTACAAACAAAAACAGCGATTGTCAAAAGCGGGTATTTTAAAAAAGCTAACTCTGGAAGCTTTAAGTCTTGTGTAACAGAATCCTTTTATGGAGGGTTATTAACAAAACTTAATAAAGAGGATACTTAAAAAACATGTTTTCCTGTAAAAGATTTTTATTTACAAAACCAAGAGAGCTGTTTAGGAAGCCTTCACGGTTGGTACAGCCGGAAACACGCCATCAATTTGCGTTTGTAAAAATTGCTCGCTCTTGTAATAAATAATACAAAATACTCTGAAAAATTGTTACAACCGTTAACATCTTGAGACGTTCCAAGGTTATCTCCTGGACACTCAGTTTTCTGGTTAAAAGAGAGCCAAAAGTTTCCTTTTGTCTTTCGTTCACACAAAACTTTGCTTGATACCACACACTCCACACCGCTGCAAAAGAGTCACACAGTCCCCTTTACCAATTTATCCTAGGAAATCGGAACGAGTTGGGTTTTGGCCATTTCTCAGGCAATCTGTCACTCTGCGAATTGACATCTGTCAATCACCAGAAGGATGGGAACGCTTCATAAAGGGTGGGAAATTCCAAACAACCGTGATTTCTCATGAAGCAAAACAATGAATTTTGCTATCGTTGAACTTGACGATGGCTTGATATGCACTGAGGTTTAAAACGGTTCACACTCCTTGAACTCAGGGCATCCGTCAATAGGTAATCATCGCTAGATGCACTGGAGCAAAATATATCTCTCAGTCATAAGGGCAACTGGCCATCATTTACCGAATAAAATGTCAACCAAGTAATAATACGACACTCCAGACACTAATCATAACTGCTTTTCCAATCGTTGATTGATACATGTCAGTCAAAACTGGTATGACACATGTCCGTGAACCATCAAAGAAGGTGAACAATCGGTTAACAGTCTCCTAATGTGGAGACACAAGACTGACACATGTCACTGAGTTATAAATGACGACTGGACAATCGGTGAACAGACATTCCCAATGTAGACACAAGACTGACACATGTCACTGAGTTATAAATGACGACTGGACAGTCGGTGAACTTGCCATTCCCAATGTAGACACATGACTGACTCACGTCACTAAATCATAAATGACGACTGGACAGTCGATGAACTTGCCATTCCCAAAGTAGACACATGACTGACACATGTCACTAAATCATTAATGATGACTGGACTATCCGTGAACTTTCCATTCCCAATGTACACAGAGGACTGACACATGTCGGTGGATCATCATTGACGACAGGGCAATCAGTGAACAGACACTCCCAATGTGGATACATGACTAACACGTCAGTGAATCACCACTGACGAATGGACAATCAGTGAACAGACACTCCCAATGTAGACACATGACTGACACATGTCACCGCATCATCAATGACGACTGGATAATTGGTGAAAAAACATTCCCAGTGAAGAAGCATAATTGACACATGTCACTGAATCAATAATGACGACTGGACAATCGGTGGACAGACATTTGCCTCGTGGTTGAGGGAGGAATATGTGCTGGTGGCGGGGGAGAGACTGGGGCAGGTAAGGCCAGGATGGTCTTGTCATAAGTTACCTAATAAGGACAAAAGTAGCAAACGTGAAATATATCTGCTCCAACTGGACAAAAAAGGGCACAACCAAGCTGGTGCAATGTAATACTAGGCCAGGAACGAGAAAACTATTGAGAAGAAAAGTAATCTCAAAAGACTTTTGCCTTTAAAACGGTAAGATTAACCACACCTACTGAAAGAGAACCTTCAACCTTGTCTTGGATGAAACAATCCCTGATATTTTTCAACGCTAATTAGGATAGGGATACCTGGGACACCAGATCGCCAACCCAGCCATGCAAACGCGTCTTTGTTGCTAAGATAAGAGACAAACACCCAGGGCCTTGAGCAACGGGTCGGCTACCAAAAGACAAGCAAAGATATTCTCGCGTATTCACCGGGGTTTGTATTTTCCATCACCTTATAAAACGTGCTACAACTCGCTTACCACCTTTCTAATCCTTGCGATATTCAGGGAATTTGTCACTTATGAACCTAATAAACTACCGCAGGGTCTCCAGTTCAGTTAGCTAAAACGTGTTACACGCATGAGCCGTTTGAAGTTCATAAAAAAACCTAAACACTTTGTTAAAAAAGGTTTGTTTATCTCCATCAAGAATCTAACAGACATTTAGTAAGGAGAAGGAAAAAATGTAATGTACCTGAAATGTTTGAGTCATGTATTGTTCTTTAAACAAGAATGCCCAAGACGATCGTTACAAATACCAACCTCAGATCAGACTAATGTTTATCATTTCGGTGATTTCTCGCTCATAGGGGAACTTACTATTGAAGTCCTAAACAATTATGAAATTTTCGGAGGAATAGAGGGCACGGGAGTTGCCTCAGCCAACTATATACGCTCTATGTTTGGTCCAAAGGCAAGGAGTTTCCTGGTACCAAAGGAACTAGGAATAAAGTGCTTCGCAATAAAGCCACAGAAAGAAAGAAAGTAACAAACAAACTACAATTCAATTTTATACCGCACGTGCTGAAGGGAGGAAATTGATTAACAAATTTTGACATACGGGATACTTTTGAATGTAATCACGTTAACGTGATCGATAATTAGCCACTGATACGGAGAACAATATCCAAAAACACCACACCTCTTTCAGTCTATTTCATCTTTCAAGCCCTTTCACGCTACCGACGTATGTGTACTTACACTGTTCCTAGTAACCGGACCAGCTCCAGGGATCATTGCTCCGCCAGATTGTCTGTTTAATCGAGACCAGGTGGCCTTGAGCTCTTGGCGATGCTGCCGATCTGCAGTGGAACAAAACAGTAAACAAATCTTTGAAATGCACATGGAAATGTAAGTTGAATAACCACGAAACACAAAGAAGCTCTGAAGAAAACGTTTAAAAGTGTTCGTGTGTTCCCGATCGAATTGGAATTTAGAAATGCTGGTTTTTGAGGAGACGGAAAACCCAAATACCTGGGGAAAAAAACCTCAGAGCAAGGGCGAAGACCAGCAATAAACCCGGCCCACGTACATAACGGGACTTAAACACGGCATAACTTCAATGATGGGAGGCGACTGCTCTCACAACTGCTAAATCTCTGCTTCTTAACAGTATTGAGCTAGTAGAGTGCTGTGAGTACAATTACCTTCGTTTAACCCTTTGAACCCTAAGATCAAAATATGAATTCTCATTTGTTGCCCCTATTCATTTCCTACAGACGTAGTGGGGAGAAGTTAATAAAATATCAAAAAAATTCATCTTGTGTGATCATGTCAGTGAGTCTCATGACCACTCTGTTTTACAAAGCATTGATATTAATAGGAGAAATTTTATGCTGATCACTCGTAGGGCTTAAAGGCTTAACTCGCATATCTGGGCTAGATGTAGCTATGTGCTGCCCGAAAGGGTATAACATTTGAGGGTTTTGATCCTTAAAATATGCCTTTGTTGGCATTGTGTTCACGATAGGATACCGTAATTGTATCAGCTAAAATTTAAGTGCATAAATGCCTAGCTACGCGGGAAGCAAATAATCTATTAAAACTGAACTGTTCCTTAAAGCATAAGGTAGGCGATTTGATGAAGGTTTGTGTATTAGTGAGTTTTTGGTTTTCCCTTTAATATGGTTCATTTTTCAGGTTTGGGCTTTCAACAGTCTAAGGAATATATTGTGGATCATAATACGTTTCTGGGAAACCGCTTACCTACTCCTCCCCTAAACCAACCAAGTAAGTGTCAATGTTGGCAGGTAGGCAGTTTCCCAGACACGTATGATGATCCTAAATTTTCGTTTGTTTCATCCTTAAATAGGGTCAGGGTTTAAGACCTTGGGCGGCAAAGACACATCAAAGTATTACCTCTCGCTCTAAGGAACCCTTCTCCGCAACTCACACAAACATACTGATCTCTTTCCAAACCACTGACGTCAGTTATCTAAATGACGAAGAAACAGCCATGTCACACATAGAAAGAAGGTGTCCATGTGGAACCAATGAAATTAGGGTGCGAAAGCATGAAAATGACAACAATGCAGCCACGTCAGGTCAGGCGTATCCCCAAAGATTCCATAATGCATTTGAAAAAAAAAAATGAATCCCGTAGTGATTGCCACAATTAGTACCAAATTCATATCTGCATTCCTGTACGCAGAATGAGCACTAATTAATTAATTTGACTGCAACTCAGTCTTCGGGTACAAAATTAAACCACAATGGATAAAAACTGTCACGAAGACTGCTGGCAGAAATTTTTAAACTACCTACGCTCGACCTGGCGTGGCTTTAAGGCAATTTTTATTGAGTGTAATCGCAAACCCAAAGTAATCTACTTTGACCAATCACAGGTGCAGATGAAGCAATGAACAATCATATCTCGAACGATACAATCATAGCGGGGGCCAGGAGCGGGAAAAGGCACCTGATTGAGGCATGGTTCGATCTTCTAACCTAATTGGTTGAGAAAGTGGCACGACAATTTTCAACCAATCACCAAGCGAAGCAATAAGAACCTACGCAACAGCCCTGTTAAGCTTGGTTTGTTCATTTCTCATTACATGTGGTGGTGTTCTCAATGAATCTGCCTCCAAAAGTATTGACAGTTCTCGAGTGTAAAATCACTTTGCTTGCAAAGTCAAAAGAAACAATTACAGCTTAAGAGGTCTATACGATTTTATACTTGTAAATAAATGAAACTGCAACTTTGCTACATGATGTGAATGTGTATTGCTCAAAGAGACTACCAAGGAAGACAAACAATAAGACGAAACAAACCTCATCTCCATCAAGGCTAAACAGTCTCCTGGCAGCGCTACTCAGGTCCAAGCGAGTGGTACAAGCATCTAACAACTGCACAATACCACAACATATTTAGCTACATTTCTCTTTCATTGGTCTTAAAAATGATCCAAGAAAACTAATCAACTTCAACTGAATTACTGGGGAAAAAATGGTGTGCCATTTGAAAGCACTGCAAAAGAGGTTTCAACTAAATATAACTGACTCTGCTTTGCTACATGAGAATTATGTGCAAACATAAAACAAACAGACCAAAATCAGTGACATCCGTGCGTTTCCCCTCCATTCAACCGCCGTAAGGAAACCCGATTTGACTAGAAAAATGCTTCCGACCAGGCTATAGGATTTAGTGCGCTAATCAAAAGGTAAACGTGCTACAAGCTTTATAATTGATTCTGCGAGTACAACTATTTTTAAGGACATCAAGGGGTTGAAAGGGTGCTTTCCTCTTTTTTTTTTTTGATACGGAACTTTAAATATAACTTATAGCAACAAGTATGGATGCAGAGCAAAGAACAGCTTATAAATGCTGAAACTCCAGTCTTAGATATTGTTTTCAGGCACTTTTAGTTCCTGCGAATTTCTCAAACTGTTATCTCTCGATTATTGGGGAGGTATGATTTAACAGACAGAAAAAAATACAATCGCCGTTCACGAACCTCTTCCATACTGGCCCCAAATACAACAACAGCTCTCTGCTTACTTTCCCCATTCGGAACAGCATTAACTCGCACCTGTGATAAAGTCAGAGTAAAAAATACGTTACATGAGAGAGAATAGAGACCTCAGCACCCAGCTTTTCGGCCGAAACCTCTGAGGGCGAACGGCTGGTGACCGCTTGACCAGAGGCTCTGTAGTCTCATTTGCGGTTTTCAACGCGAGTTTTCAAGCATGTCATTTACTTGTGCGATTTGAGCTGCTTTTTTCTCATTTGAAAATTTATTGCAAAACAGGCATTTTTGTAGATGTTTAAGTGTAAATTAACGCAAAAGAGCGAACATAGATCTTTCTGCTGTTGATTTTCTAAAATAAAGGCTGAAGTCCCGATGATTTAACGTAACAACGCTATGCTTAAGTAGAGACAGGATCAAACCTCAAACGGCAAACGTGAGACATAAAGTCGCGGTTTCACGTCAGCTGCAAAAGCGAAAAGCTCGAAGCTAAATGTATCTATTAAGTACCATATAATGTCAAACGACCGAAATAAGCACGTGATAATTTAATTTCCCGCCACCGATTTACTTTACGTTTGCCGCTTTCAGTCAGCGTGAAGAGATTGGTTTTCAAACTGATATTTTTTTTTCGTCAGACGTTTTAGGGAACAGAAGCAGACGTTTATCGTAAAGGTGGTGCTTCACTTCTCTTTTAACAGATCATCATCTTCCAAAAACAAAACAACAACAACATTAACACCAACGAAAACATACCGTTTTGGGTTTGGAGTACAGCCGCTGCGTCGATTCTTTAGCTGCCTTACTCAGGAAAGCTTCACCCTGATTCTGTCGTGACTTCACTTCCTGAAGATGGTTCTAGAAATTGATGCAAAACGATTTAAGATGGACTTACTACAACAGTTACTTTATAACTGCATCAGTGTAGGATAGAAGCCCTTATGTATTTCTTCACTAGCCTTCGTCGTTTACTAACAAAATTCTTCGTATTTGCACTCTTTGTACATGCGTATTCTTTTCAACTATACTGTCTTGGAAATTAATTCATTCAGAACTTCATAAATTTACTTGCCGGCCAGCAAGCTTTCTGGGCTCTCCGCCCCAGAGATCCCTAGAGAGCTTGGTCGCAGGCTGCAAATTTAAAATTTCTAAACATGACTTGGTGGTGAAATTTGCCCGTTTGACGTAAGCATACGTCACACATAGGTCATTTTTAAAAGAAAAATGATTCTTAGGCTTGGAAATTAAGTTTTGATTAAATGGGGTAGTTGTACCTTGAGTTCGCTTATAGCTTCTTCCTTCTTTTCTTCAGCCCGGGTGGGCTCGTGCCATGCTGGTGTTAACACTACCCCCCTGGGGGAGGATGGAGGACTCCGGCCATTGATTCGACGCCCTGGTGAACAAATTAAAAATTTTAAATGCGTCCGAAGGGTGCAGTCCTCATTACGTCTCACATCAAACTTTTCTCTGTTTCGACGCCAGTCACGTGAATGAACATGCCCTGAGATCACTACCAAATTCCCCTTCCCCGTCCAAAGCATTCCTTTCTTGTAATTACTGCAGTTATTTTCAAATATCTAGACAACCGTTACGTTAAGACTTGCTCCAAAAAAATAATCCACCCTGGCCTTTTCATTAGGCCAAACCTTCAGATGTCTCATCGTGATTCATATTTAATCGATTCACTGGAAATAGGCCAATTTTGAATTATAAGAAGTCACACGTGGCTCCGAGACTGAGGGAAATAAAACGAAATGAAATGAAATAATTCATCCCTGAATCTCACTGCCGCTAAATACCGCTATGCGTCTGAATTAGGTATGAATTTTCATAATTCGAAACTGGTTTATACAGTTGTTAATTTCGTGTTTCAGGTCTTTGCATTTTTCATTAAACAAAGGAAAAAATTAAATAGGCTGTGGACAGTTCGCTGCTGCCATGCCATAGCCGCTGTTACACAGCCGTTCTTTATGTTGTCACGCAACGCTCCCCACACAAATGTGGTTCGTTTCTCAGCAGCCGTTTTTTAGGATGTCACGCAACGTCCCCCCCAAAACAGCTGCGAGGGAGACTAACGTTTATGGGGAGGAGCGTTGCGTGACGTCACAAAGAACGGCTGTGTAGCAGACTATTGTATTTCACTCCCACTTAAAATACCATTTCCGAGATCCAAAAACCCTCACTTTCAAAACCAGTCTAAGTGGGAAACTTTCTTGTTCTTGAGAAAATGAGTTTCATTTGCACGAGAATAAAAAAATCGTTATCAGTCACTGGCTTCGCACTTAAACTCGCTTTAAAACAGAGGCTTGAATCAACTCTGTAATGGCCTATTATTTACTCACCCTGCATGTGCCTTAGTACATGTTTCTCTTGGTCTAGATACGCCTGGACCCAGGTTCTTTCTTCTCTGTGCTTCATAGACAACAGGTATTGTTTATCAGCTTCTAAACATCAAAACAAAGGTACAACCAGACAAGACGATTTACATCACTCAGCTCTGTTTACATGTGACACTAGCCTGCGAATACAGCCGTTTCTCCTTGCTCTTCGCCGCTGGGGACGTTTCTTCTCTTGAAGAAACGTTCCTAGCCTTGCGGCGAGGAGCAAGGAGAAACGGCTGTTTCGCAGGCTAATTTGACACAAATCGAAAAAAAGAGAGAGACAAATAAACACATTTACATATAAAGTAAAGAATAAAAATTGTAGTCTCTAGATAAGGAGCGAGTTGGGATCATCCAAAAAGCAAAAGCTAATCTAGTGAATGATCCCAAAATTACAATTACACACAGGATAATAGAGTATAGTATTTAATAAAAAGTATTTCTTCACGCTAAGGAAGATAATTAATTAATCAATATAACAACAAAGCATAGAGTTCTTTTAGGGCTTTACAACATAGCCTAAGAGATTTTAAGTTACTTATATTTGTTGACTGAGAATTCCAAAAGCGAGAACCAGCAAATTTTAGGGAACGCAAGCCATATTGAGTGGTATTGACAGAGGCTACATAAAGTTTACCAGAGCATGATTGGTGCGTTACATAGGGATGGACAGAAGTAGTAAATTAAAAACACTCATTGAAACAAGAAGGTAACAGTTTACGTGACCACTGATAAACAAAGGAAAGTACCGGTAACTTGATAATATCATTGGAGTTAAGTAAATTAAGAGATTTGACAAGAGGCTCTGAGTAGGATCTAGGTTCTGCGAAGGATATGATTCTAATCGGGACAAAGGACGTCAGGAAACAGGAATGTTACGTCGGACGTATCAGCTAACGTCTTACCCTCTATTAAGTCCCCCCCCGGGCTTATTTATTTCAAACATATTTGAGGGGGGCTCAACAGAGACGGGGGGGGCTTATTTAATTTAGCAAAGACGATGGTATCAGTTCTCCATGAAGAACTATTGTAGAAAGCACAAGTAGTTGGGTATCATGCAGTCGAGGATCAAAAACAAATCCAAACTTCCAGTTAGTGAATAAACCATCCACGATCAATCGACACAAAGTTTTACAATCGTGACTGATTAATACTGTCTATCATTTATTAGTGAAGAATAAAAAGGGGGAGGGGAATGGGGCTTAAAAGAGAGGAGGAGCTTATTAACTTTCTTTCTCTGAAAAGGAAGAGGGGGCTTTATTTGAGTGGGGGGGGGGGGGGGGGTTAAAAAGGGTTTTACCCCATGTTCTGTCCGGATAAGGGTGGGGGGTTGCTTGAGATGTAGTGTTTTTTTAGACGTTTCCCAAAAAAAAACAAACGCGAGCAGATATTAGGGATTGTGGGGTACATCTCCCCCCCCCCAGGGGGGGGGGGGGGGGGGGGGTGGTTAAAAAGGGATTTACGCCATGTTCAGTCCAGATGAAGGTTGGCAGTTGCATCAGACGTAGGGTTTTCTGAAACTTGCCACAGAACAAGACAAGCGTGACGAAGATTTAGGCATTGTGCGATAGCATTCCCCCCCCCCTTTTTGAACCCTCTGGGAAAACAAATACTGTTTGAACAACGGAAACTCGGGGGTAAAATTAAAGTGTTTGATTGCGAAGACACGAATTTAGGCTGTTTATTAACCTTGAGGTTCAAAATTTCAATGTATTATACCATGGGGCATTAATAGATGGCCGTCCTTATGAAAGTCAATAGACCCTTCCAGGGTTGTTCAGCTTTTGACATGGACCAGTTAAGGAAAATCTGTCGACACCACTGGAAAGAACGCTTAAAAGGTAGTAAAATTGCCAAGTTTAAAAGCGATACGTCTTAAGCGAGTGAAGCCATAGCTTCGCAACTTGCGAAAATTTAGAGACGTTTGTATGCTTTGGGGCAAGTACTCAGCATTTTGCGGTGGCTATTTATAAGCTTCGCACAAACGCTGGGGCAATCCCGAAACATACCTTCCAACGGCACAAACGGCTCACCACAGGACACCCAAACGTCAATAGGCCACCTTGTGTCCCATCTTGGGAGACCTTGTTGTTCTTTGCTGCTGACAACAGGCACGGTACCAGTCCTTCCCTCGCTCACACGATAAGTTAAATTCCCGGATGACCGCTCGTCTTCGTCCTCCTCCTCTTCATTATCATTGATGTGTAAGTTTTCAAATGCCTCTGTTTCTAACAGTTCTTTCTCTCTTTGTTCAGCTGCTGTTAGCTTTCCTTCCTTGGGTTTGTAAAAAGCCCTGTTTTCAGCTTCAACAACGTCTACTGCATGGCCCTTCCGGGCGATTCTTTCTTCGGGAACCTAAGAAAAAGACATAGCCTTGATTGGAGAGAATTTTCAATCACACCTTTACACAACTCGCGATAAAACTTGAAAGGCGTCGAGGTGTCAAGAACAGGATAACTTTCTTCAATGAAAATACATTGGTCACTAGTGAGACAAATAGCAGTCTCGAGCAAATCGTCGACTCACATTACGGTGAATAAAACCTGCTATCGATCATTTGATCTATTTACTTGTTTTAAGCATGTGTCGATGAAATCCATACTGGGTGATCTTTAAAATGCAAAGTTGAAAAAAATATACAAGAAATGGAAAGGGGAAAAAATCATCTTGTAACGTAATATTTTTACCTTGTAGAAAAATGCGTTTTCGTGACGAACATAAATTAAATCATCATCTATTTATAGCCCGTTGATCGGGATGGATTTAGCGGGGTTGTTTTTCCTTTATAAAAGAGCTCAGGCCTGAACAGAGCTGATGGCTGACTGCTCGGGTAAACTTCTCGTTTTCATACAATACAATATTTCTGTCTGGTCAAGATCTTACGGCAGCCCAATGAGCGCCTTTCGGTGTCTTATTGCCGATAAGAACTCAAAAGCTCAAAAGAAACGGAAAAAATGGATGGAGTACAATAACACTTGCCAGCCCATTAACAAATGATTGTGGTAAGGGGTTGTTAGCGTCACATTATTGTCATCAGCAGGAAACGATAACAAAGCATGAAAACAAACTTGTTAGTAAATCAAACCTTGCCACTGTTCTCTGCGTCTGTTTGTGGTGCTCCGCTGTCCATATATTGTACTGTGTTGTATGTATAGGGTCTGATAAGTTGTTGAATATCCGTAATAAGTTCTCCGCAACAAGTGTACAGACGGCGAGCTGCTGATGGTAATCCGAGTCTTACAGTGCACTGGTCCAGAAGCTAACACAACCAGTAAAAGAAAGCACAGTTAACGAGGGAGGAGTCTTTCTTATAGAGTGTGAAAAAAAAAGATGACTTAAAAATACGCAGGGATCAACTGTACGTGATCGTTTTTTACGGAGTCAAAGAAAATGACTGAGGAACGGAAGGGACCAACTTTAGGTGTCCAACTTAAAGAGGAGCCTGCCTTAGAAAGAGTCAAAGAAAATGACTGAAGAACGTAAGGGACCAACTCTAGGTGTTCGTTTCAGAGGTGTTCGCCTTATAGAGAGTCAAAGAAAACGACTGAAGAAGGGCAAAGAACCAACTGAAGGTGACCGTTTGAGAGAGTTAGAGGTTGTCAGCCATATAGAGAGTTAAAAACTCTAGCTGTCCATTTTAGAGGGTTTTCCGTCTTAAAGAAGTCTCTGCTAAGAAAGGCTTGTCTGTGTTAAAAACAAAGTGGTTTTAATTCGATCTTAAAAAGTAAGTCCAATAGAGGACTTATTGGTTTACTAATTGGTTTATGTGTATGATTTTGCCCTGTTTCTTTTAGCATTGTCATTTCACCCCAATTCAGGGTTTAGGTGCTTTTGGTAAAGGTATAAAAACCCTAATTTATCACATCATATGTATACACACCGAGTGAATACTAGAGCCAATGAGTATTTCGCCCTCATTCCTGCTGCCCTCTCCATTCTTGAAGGCCTTTATTCTGACAGCAGGTACGCTCTGAGCCATATGTAGTTCACGAGTGATAGTCCGTACACTGCCTTCATTTCTGAGCCTACCGAGCTGGTGTTCCCACAGGTCCAGGGTGGCTTCAGCCTCTAAGGTGGACAAATCAACCTGTTGGCAAATATAAAGACCGGTTTACACGCTATGATTTGTCAGTCCTAGGTGCGGAGAACACTTAATAAATGGCTGGGTCCACGGGAGGGCAAGACGAAGTCAATCCTGTGTTCTGATTGGGCGATTGGCTAACACAGCAGGCGTACAAGATGACCCTATCTTGCCCGCTCTGGATTTTCGCTTTGGTTCCGCAAGAAAAAAAAAACGTTCTTTTGGCCATATAATAAATTGTTGATTACGCAGGTCCCAGTTGTTCAAAACGTGGATAACGCTATCCACTGGATAGTACAATTGGTTACCACAATACTTATATATCCTCTGGAAAGCGATTTATCCGGTGGATAACGCTATCCGGCTTTTGAACAACAGGCCCCAGTTGTTCAAACGTAGGATGGTGCTATCCATCGGATAACAATCATAGAAACCAATTGCGTTATCCAATGGATAGAGATTTATCCTGGGGATAGCGCTATCCACCTTTTGAACAACTGGGGCCAGGTTTGGTCAAGATAGCTAGATCTTGGCCTCGTTCTCAGTTTCATTTTGCTTCATCCAGCCACGTTAACCGAAAAAGCTTGGTCAATAACGCACATATCATGTGCGTCATAGACTGCTGTGCTAGACTAGCTCAACTGTAGCATAAAAGTAGCTCGGCTTGGTTTCAAAAGTCGAATTTTAATTAGCCGAATACGATAAGAATAAAAAGAGCCGCTTCAGCTAAATTTTGAAATGCATTCTAATGTTATAATTATTTACGAATTAAGTTATGCACGACAGTAAGACGACGTTCTATGCTGTCTTAATTTTTCATATTCACCACAGGATGGGAGAACAGAAGAACAGTAACTTCTTACATACCTTGCTGTTCAAGCACTTGAAAGAACTGCTGAGCCGAAGGCCTTGTTCTTGAGCTGCAAAACAGTGAAATCCAGATCAAAACCAACACTTTTTGGGATACTTTATTAAAGGGAGATGGACTTCTGCTGATTGCTGTATATGTACCTTTCTCAAACTCATTAATAATTTATAAAGAAAATACAAAGAAAATTTTATTTAATGAGTGTTTGGAAATCAGATGAAAAACTGCTCATTTTTATATCCTTAATTTCTCCCGCTAAAATCCTGATTTTTTTTGAGAAGTAATATCAAGCATTCGACACTGTTTCAACACCAGATGAGACACCTCGAAAATCGTCAAAAATACTCCGCTGCGCGAGTCGTATTTTCAACTCTCTTCTCGGTGTTTCATCTGATGATGAAACACGGCGTCTCATGCTTGATAGAGCGATTTTCGTATGACCTTGAAATGAAAACGCGCGAACAAAACAGAAACAATAAACAAACGGAAATAGAGCGATTTGATTGGTTTATCGAACTGATACAAACGCGCGTGGTTTTTGGTTTGTTAAGCGAACGCTTGGGTGAAAAAACTTCAAGCCCGAGAACTTTCTAGAAATCAATCGATACTACGCTTTGGCGTCATACTGCAACACGATTGGCCAATCGAACAATGCCTTCTTTAAATTAGAGTTTTATTTGGCGGGAAAACGAAGAGGCCATGGTTTGATCTTTTCATCCATTGGCTGATAAAACAAATTACGACCACTTATCGAAACCATTCTTCAAGGTCATACGAAAATCGCTCTATATTACTTCAATACTTTGGCGGAGCGTCATTGAAATACATCTTGTGAATAACAAAGACCACTGATAAACCATGATTTGATATTGTTCAAGATAAAAGACATTTCCCTCGTGAGAAGCTTTCTCCATTCGGTTATGAGAAGCTGAATCGTTCTTTCCAAGTCTGTCACTGGTTATGTGCAGGGGGCCGTTTCTCGAAAGTCCCGATAATTCACGGGCCCGGTAAGCTGTCTCCGTTTACATTAAGGATCGAGGTTTCAATAGTTTTGCATCTATCATGATAAAACTATCAGTTGATGAAACAAAATGGAGTAGTTTGCTAGCCAGGACCCACGCTCTTATTCTTTATATTTCGATTTGAATATTTGATTTCGGGCCCGTAAAGTCACCGGGACTTTCGAGAAACGGGCCCCAGGCCCCAGTTGCTCAAAAGTGGAATAGTGCTATTCATTCTTGAACAATTGGGGCAAGATGATTGAGACTCGCTTTAACCCTTTAAAGCCAAACATCAAAATTCAGATTCGCATTTGATGTCTCTACGCGTTTCCCGTAGAAGTAATCGGGAGAATTTGTTGAAGTATCACTTAGATTCATCTTGTGTGATCATGTCCTTTATTCTCATTAACAATGTGTTTTTTGTAAAGCATTCATTTTACAAGGGGAAACTAAATTTGTTACTGATCGCTCTTACGGCTTAAAGTTTAACTAAAGACTGAGTTAATATAATAATAATAATAATAATAATAATAATAATAATAGTAATAATAAATGATAATAATAACAATAATAATAAAACACAATTAAAGGGAAAACATATACTATGAAATACTATTAAGTGAATTTCTAATTAAGGTAAGTAGAAATATACAGATAAAAAAAGGAGGAGTCTTGCAGCTCTTGCTAAAAAGGAGTTAGTACGTCTTTGCCTTCCTGACTTTGTATTGCTACTGAACATGGTTGAGAACTTAAGTTATAGCCGTCGCTTCGTATTTTGCTTTGCGAGAACTATTTGTTTTGGGTGGCTAATATCATTCACAATTCTTTCTAATTCACGCTTTGTCGCTTCTTTGCATCTGTCCTCTAACGTTGGAAGGGATGTTCTTGGTATCCCGATGATATCTAGGTACCTGTTTTGTATAGACTGCAACTCTTCTGCAAGGTACTTCGGCAAACCGCCCCACAATGGGGACGCATATTCGAGAAGTGGGCGTATCTTGGTACAATATATTGTGATGCCGATCGGCTTTCCTACATTAACTCAATTAAAACTGGCTTGATATCTTGAAGTCTGATTATCGTTGATTTTTAAACTGATCTCTGTAACCTGCTATAGCCGTAAAGTAGTTACCTGTTCCTAGTGCACAAGCAAAGCCAGAATGGTACTGATGGAGACGCTGCAGCTTGTGTCGTCCTCTAGAAGATTTCCCACAAGCTTCACAAAGGTAAGTCTCCTTAGTTGTTCCCGCCATGTATACGTAGCCCTAAAGAAGAAGTTAAAGTTCATTCATTTGCCACTGATCACTTGAGGGTTATAAGCGCTTTTACCCGCTAAAATTATACTTTCTGAACAATAATTGGCAGAAAGGAATGCCTAAAAATGCCTTTAAAGTGGCAACGACTCTTAACGGGTGCACATGAAGGAAGAGAAAATATTCGGTCTCCGAACTGGACCACCACATCCTCGGAGACCCAGGGGCTGTCAGTTACGGTGCCGGAAGTTTCAAGAACGGGTGAGAGAGCCTCTGGGGTGCTACTCTTAATAAACCAGTTCCACGACTCATTCGAATGTTTGTCGGTGATTTTTTGTGCCCTACCTTGCGAGTAAAGGTTTCTCTCTTGTATGGCTTTTAGCGTCTTCGAAGTCATTTTGCGTGGCTTGTCGTCGCACAGTTGGTTTGTTTACGCCCCGTGAGTAAAAGCCATGCAAAAGAGAAACCTCTGCTCGCACGGTATTTGTGCCCAATCAGTGGTTAGCATCTATCGCACCGCTTTCTTGATCTTCTTATGCGAAGGAGTTTACCTGCAAACTCGACTGTTGGCCGTACATGTTTGGCTCGTGAAGAAATTCCATAATTGGTAAAATTTCGGTATAAACTCATATATTTATTATGCATGCAGCAAATTTCATACTATTTCACACAGATAGAATCAAGACGCTAAAACATTCTAGATGTAGGTGCAGCAGGACGGTAGATTGTTTTTAGTTTCTTTTTTACTGTTATTGTGACCTTGAGAATCAAAAATGGGTAAAAAAAGGATATCTTTAGTATATAATATAGAAACTAACGAAACTATCGATAGTTCGCTACACTGTAGCGATTGTTATCGATGTTTCATTTTTACTATCGATTGATCGCTATCGCAGCGTTAATATCGCGATTAATCGATAGTTTGATGTATTGTTACAGGCTTACGCTCTTCCAGACCCAACTGACCACCCCTGGGTCTCCGAGGATGGACATCACTGCCCTATCGATGTGGTTTCTAAGTACCAGTTCGGCTGAGTTATGACGATCTGGCCCCTGGCCTTGGTTGTTCAAACGTTGAATAGCGCTATCCACCGGATAAATGACTATCTAGCGGATAAGTATCAGAGAAACCAACTGCGCTATCCACTGGATAGAGATTTATCTAGTAGATAAGGTAATCCACTTTTCGAACAACTGGGGCCAGATGTTCAAAAGATGGATAACACTATCCACTGAATAAATCTCTAACCAGTGTATAGTGTAACTGGTTTCCCTAAAAAGTATCCACTGGATAGAGATTTATCCGGTGGATAGCGATGAAACTATTTATCAGCAGTTACGTACTGGTTGAGGAACTTGTTGAGGTCCGAGAACAGCAAATGTACACACATTAGCTTTGTTGGCAGCACTGATTTCTGAAATTATCAATAAAGCAAGGAACAGAAAATATAAGAACTAAGGAAACTTGTATGGATGGAAGGAGACAACAGGTGCGGTTACCCCAGAAGTCGTGGACGCCAATGATGGCAGACGGACATGCCAACGCGAGCTCTTCTTCAACCGTTTGTAACTCATCCTCTACTTTGTGCTACGACGACAATTCCTTATATGTCGATTAACATCCATCGAACAAAGCAACTAAGGACAGGTTAAGCTGGAACTGAAGCTGTTACTTAAAAAGAACAATCGAGAGATAACTTGAATTATAGTACACTCAATCCCCGTAATTGCGGAAAGCCTTAGGACCGCAAATTCGTGTCGTTAACTGCGAGAGTCCGTAATAGCGGGGCGTAAAAAGAATTTCCTTAAAAATATTTCCGGTGGGTGTTAACAAATAATGAAATCTACACCAAGTTCGATGGATAAGCAACAATTAAATCTTAATTATAAAGAACGATTTATACAGTAATACTTTCACGAATACGACGAGCCTTAGATAATCTAAGACAAAATCGAACAGGGTAAATCAAACTGACGACAATCGGAATGTCAGTTGTAGGTTCTATTTACATCATACAACTCCTGTCCGAAATAGCGAGATTCTGTGACGCACGTGGAAGGAAGAGCTCCCTCTTCCCATTGTGTTCTCGAGCGCCTGAATTCTTCCTTCCCCTTCCCCATTGAAAAACTGCCAGACATATCAGGGAGTTAACTGCTATCCGACCCGACAGTCGGTATGAGAAAGGTGCCCGTGTTAGTAAGGTGACTACAAGAAATGAGAGAGAAATGAGAGTACACAGAATACCTTTGTTCGTTGTGTCTGCAGCCATGGCCTCAATAAAGCCAGTGATAGGATCAAACCGCCACAACTGATTTGCATTTCCATTTGCGCAACTCTTGCGATGGGCTACAATCACGGCTGCGCCTTCAAAGCCTTGTGCGGGGGTGTAGTCATGGTTGAACGGATCGCTCCCCAGGGGAGGTGTGGTAACTGTTAAAACAAGCTGCTGATTGGAACGCTGATATATAAAGCTGCAGTAAAGCGTAACAACATGGCGGTTAGCCACGATCATATTTGGTCTTTTGTTATACGTAATGCCGTTTACATCGCCGCAGGCCGGTAACTTATATGACACAGGACTTCATCCATACCTCAGTAACAGTGAACTTACGCAGCACGACTGGAGTGGCATGTCACGATGGGAGTGGCCAGTCAGCGCATGGCCTTTGAGCGAGGTCGCGCTATTTTGTGCTCTAGTTTAGTTTGAACCTCTGTTAAATTCTATTACCTAAAACCTTTAAAGCAAAGTGACAGAAAAGGATGCTATTTTCAAATATTCTTTCTTTTCTTTTCTCTTCTCTTTGCTTTTTACTTATTATCACGTGATATCTGATTGTAATAGAATTAATTTGCCACGCCACGACTAGCGTTTTTGCTAACTGCGTGCCAAGAAATTGTAAGCAATACTATCATGATAAATGTCTTGTCTTGTCTTGGCAAAGAAGACGACAAACTTTGTGTGACAAGCGTGACAATAATTTTGGTTGAAAAAAACTTCCCGCCAAACTTCACCCTCCTTTAAAGAGGACTTTCTGTAGAAGACCAGAAAACTTTAAGGTTTAGTGAAGATCACGACAAAAGACGCCGTAGCCCTGTGACCTTTGTCACACACAAGCGTTTTGCCGTCCTCTTCTTTCTGCCGTCCTGTTGAGTAAACTCACTAATGTTCACGGAAAAACCAAGAATGGTTGGTAAAAAGTCAGATATACTTAATTGGCCATTTTGCGAAGAGCATGATTTGGCAATGCAATTTAAAGTAACTTTAATTTGTCTATCCCAATAATTGTAGTATGTTAATGGCAACTCTAACCATTCAACACAATCTGGCATAACAATATGGCCAATTAAATCATCTTTCAACTTAGATAACGTTACAGGCGGTACAAGGAAACTGCTTCCTGAAAAAGGTCTAGACTATAATATCAATAAATATATGAAAGAAAACAAATACTTGAATGTGAATCTCACCCATCTTCCGCCACAACCCATCTCTGCGTAAAATCCTCGAGCTTTTTCTTACAAAGAATAACTTCAGATTTTCCCTGAAAAACAACAGCCATCATAAAAATTACTGCACAAGGCGCATCGGGAAAGCATGAAGAATAATTCTGACTAAACGGATCGAACAGAATCTATGGGAAATAGAGTGTACAATGTCATTACCACATTAGGTCGTCGTTCTTTAGACGAAAGGATATAATTCAATGTGTGCTAGGAAGTGATGTCGTGGCATTTTATCGGTACCTTCACGTCAAATGGGACAATAACAAAAGAAATTCTATTTTAATGACAAATATGCAATTACAAAAAAATCAAGAACCTGTATAGTGGAAGCGTACATTTATATTCCTTGTTCAGGAAGGGGAGGCCAAAAAATCTTACACTGTCTCCAGCGACAGTCTTTGTATAGGCAATAATAAGGAAGTACCCGCCAACCCGCGCGTATGTATACAATCTCCCACGCAGACGAGACCAAAACGGCTGCGTAGGAGATTAGTCTGTACATAAAGAAACCGAAAATGTCGAGGTCCTTTACCTCATTAGAGGATTCAGTAAGTCCTAATACCAACGGTGTTCCCTTAAGGCAGATAAAACCATCATTATTCAACGACCATCTTTGTCTCTGGCAAGGATCAGCCGGCTTTGCATCTTGAGTTTTTAGAACCTGCCGTCTAATAAGAAGAGCAAGCACACAAGGGCTTTTAATAAATAATCACAGTCACGGCTGCAGTAAAGACTCTAAAACGGCCTAAATTCTGACAATATTTGCTAGAACGTAATCTAAAATGAGGCTCTATTTCCTATTTAATATTATAGCACTTTCCTGTTGTACTGCTGTATATTAAGCTGGTGGTGGTTCAAACAAAGTCTTGAGTCCCTTAACCGAATTCAAGTGTGACCCTTCAAATGACAGCTACTGAACAGTACTTTCCGGTAGAGCTGTTTGTGATGTTGTACAAGGTGGTTCTAAATTTTGAGTCTGAGAACGGAATCCTCAAGTGTGACGATTCAAGGTGAAAGCCACTGACCAGTACTCTCCTGTGGTACTGTTTATGAACGTGTGCAAGGTGGTTCTTACTTTTGAGTCTGTGGATGAAATCCTAAAGTGTGACCGTTCAAATGAAAGGTGTTGTGCAAGGTGGTTCTAACTGTTGATTCTCTGGGTGAATTAAAAATCCTAACGTGTGACCAGTCAAATAAAAGCTGCTGACCAGTATTTTCCTGTGGTACTCCTTATTAAGCTGCACAAGGTTGTTTTAACTTTTGCGAATCTGGATAAAGTCTTTAAGTATGAACATACAAATGAAAGCCACCGAGTAGTACATTTACTATGGTACTGTCTATTTTGCTGTGGCTGGTTTTGACTTTAGTGGCTGTGGATGACATTCTGAAGTGCTGCTGAACGATCCGTCAATTAATGCTACTGAGAGACATTAAATTCAGTACCTAAATTTCCGCTGCAGCTGTCGATCAGAGAACATCACCTCATCAAGGAAATCATTGTCTTCTTTGTCATCCACAGACGGGTCGTCCTTGAGTGTCTTTTCATTCTCCCAAGGCCACTGCAACGTCTTAAGACGCTGCTCAGCACGGATATGAGAACGCTCGTGAGCGCTTAGAGCATGACTGTAAATATCCTCTTGGCTAAAAGAACAGATAAAAAAAATTCACTTATGAATTTATCGAATTTGAAAAATGTAAACATATGATGACAATGACGATGATAACGATAGCGATGGTGTTTGAGATGATGACGGTCATGATGATGATGATGATGTTGATGATAATGATGATGATGATGATGATGATGATAATAATGGTGACGATGATGATATTGATGATGACGATGACGATGACGATGGCAATGACGATGATGACGATGAAGATGATGATGAAGTTTACAATCTGATCACGTTTACTGATCCGGGAGGGTGTTATTCGCCTCGGCCTGATCGGCTTCGGCGGATAGTACCCTTCATGATCTCCTTAATAAAATATTCTTCAAATGATACTCAGCCTCATTCAATAATTGCTAATTACAAAGCTCATTAATGGACCAATACCATCAGCCAGTGCCTTACTGTTCATGTATAACGTAAGGCAGAGGGCACGTACTGTTGTCTTCTTATCCACCACATTACCATAACCGTTAAGCGTAAACGTGACTCTAAATTTAGTTACCGTAAATCCTATATTAAGCCCCATATTTTCAGGGGAAGAAAGTTAATACCCCCACCTCTCTATTAAGCCCCCGCCCCCTGATCAGTCTTTACTAATATATGATAGACTGTATTTATCAATCACGACTGTAAAACTTCGTGCGGACTGATTTACCAACTGGAAGTTCGGATTAGATTGTGATCCTCGGCTGCTTGACCTCCAACCGTCTTGTACTTGTGCTTTTCCACTTTGTTTTCCAGCTCTTTATGGGGAACTGATACCATCGTCTTTTCTAAATTAAATAAGCCCCCCGCTTCAAATGTGTTTGAAATATATAACCCTCTCCCCGGGGTTAATAGAGGATTTACGGTAGCTCAGTAGCTTTAGAGTATCACTGATTAATTGACAGTGCCCTTCTTAATTTAACAACACGACTGTTAATTTTACCGCGATGGACTAAGGGGTAAGGGGGTAAATAGGGATAAAATGAATAAGTCCCCCCTCTCAAATAAGCCCCCCGTCTCTATTAAGCCTCCCCCTGAAATGGGCCTGAAATAAGTAAGCCCCCCGAGGGGCCTAATAGATGATTTACGGTAATACCTCTCCTCACGTCTCAAGCCTGGTGATTCCTCATCACCACGACCAGTTGCCAGCTTTTCTCGCTCCTCCGAACTCAGTGCACATTTAGCAACAGATAACGGTGACCCAGTGGTAGCCGCTCCATCAACTTGAAGAACTAAGTCTAGCAAAAACAGAGAATGCGAAGAGTGAATAGCATAAACCCTATGAGTCCCATCCATTTTCTCCTAACAATTTCGATACACAATCAAGAGAAAAGGTTATAAGAATTGATAAAATGATCACCACAGGGAAAATGCTTTGATCCTTTATCAAATTCTCCCAGCTAATTATGCAAGGAAACGTATGGAGATCCATTGGGAGAATTTGTGTTCTAATATTGTGGCTGAAAGGGTAAAAATGCTGCTGATTCAAACCTAACTGGACATAGTAAAGAGGTTAAAACAACAGTCAATGTATGGACTGTCCGCCAGGGCAAAGAAAGTGGCCGTTCTGGAGAGGCGGCCCTACCTGCTGGATCCCTCAAGGCACAATATTGTCTGATGTGACAGATATCAGATGCTAAGTTTGCCAGCACCGTTCGTCTCTGCTGTTCAGAGTAGGACAGCTGTGGATCACTCCAGGGCTCACCACATGTAACATACACAAGCTCGTCTCTTTGAAGATCAGAAAGTCTACGCACTTCTTTTCCATCCTTGGTGTACAGTCGTCTTGCAGCGAATGGCAAGCCTACAGCGTCGGTACATCTGTCCAAAAACTGATGGAAATTGTGCCAGTTGGAATATGAATTGACGACGGAAAAACAGATTGAAAACCAAATACAGTCGAAGTTCTCGTTAGCGACCTGACCTCCTCGGAAATTCGAAAAAGTGGTCTTCACGTCAGCTGATCGCTTACGAGAGTGGTCGCCAGGAGAGCCTCGACTGTACGGGATTTCCTCCGAAACGGGCGCGTATTCAAAATTTCGGCTAAAAGGATAGGCGCTTAATCAAAGGGGAGCTTATTAATTATTCATTTCAACGAACTGTAACTTTATTTTGGCTAAATCGCTATGAAAAAAAATCTACACAAAGGTAACGTCAATATTAACATTTTTCTTTTGTTAGAGCAGCTGTTGTAATGAAGCATACCGTAGTCCCAATTTACACTTTGAATAAAGATGTATCGATATGCAAGGTCATAAAATATAGCTTATCTCATCAAATATCGTCATATACAGTGGCAATAGAAACTGGTTTTCCTTGCAGCCTTACTGTTTTGGAAAGTAAGGGAAAGGGGGGAGGCACTTATTTGATGTTGTGGCCCAGGGCATGGGCGCTTATTTGAGGAAATGCGCGTAATTAGAAAACACGGGATACGATGCGATACAATCACATTTGCACATACCGAAAAAAGGTAGCGGACTCCCACAGAAAAAAACTGCCTCTGGACTCTTGGCCATGACAAGTAAAGAATATTTAAAATCACGGTTTTTTCCACATGTGTTTTATCAACGGATAAGTTAGTCTGCTACATAGCAGACTACGAAACCAATAAATTAAAAATTTGTATGATAATGTATCTTTAGCCTCTTTGGGGAGAAAAGTTATTACTGATTTGATTTGGTTCGTCGGACCCAACAGACAATTAAGTTACTTTAGGTCGATCCAAATTAGAGTTTGGTTCGTCTCATGAAAAGTTCGACGTCAGACCTAGGCCTGAGAGAGAAATGGTTACACTGACCTTTCCGCGACTTTTTTTTGCAAGAACAACTGACTGTTTGCGATAAGAGGTGTACATAGTTATTTTGCTATTTCCTGCAGTCTTACCAGGTCAAGCTCGAGTCTTTTAAGGTCAAGGGGATGGCAGGAGCCAGCTTCATCCTCGCCGGCCTGTTCAACATGTTTCTCAACAGTAGATCTCCTGACAAAAAAAAATTGTTAAAAAAAAAACAAGTATTATGCTGGGAAAAGTAAACAAACAGTTTTTTTCGGTCAAAAATCTCCAAAGTAGCCATTGTAAAAAGTAAGAGTGCAACCATTGCTTTTTTCGCCTCTCCTCCTTTCTTCCTCCTCGATTTTTCGTTTTCTCCTTTCCTTTTCCTTCGTTGGTGTGATTTTCGAGCTTCTCGGGCACGAAAAAAACTCTGCCGTTTGACCCCTTTTCACTCAAATGACTGAAAAATTTCGTCAGGTTACTTTTCAAAAAATTGGCTAGATATATATCACATAGATCCATCCAACTCTGCCAAATCAGATTCCAACTCCAGCTTCCATCATAGTCAACGGCAGAGAAAAGGGGATACAGTCAACTGCCTCATAGCCACCACTGCTTTTAAGCGACCACCTCCCGTAAGCGACCCCTTTGTCATGCACCAAGGGTGGTCACTTACGACAGAGTTGACTGTAGTTACCTTTTGTGTTTTGTAGAAGGACGTTTAGATCCACTGACATCATGAAGCATCTTACAAAAGAAAAAAAAAAGAAAACAGATAAGCAATTTAGCAAAAGGAGCCTTCCACACAGATACTAACCTGAGACTACCACTGGTTTCCCCGCCAAATGACGTCTGAGAAGCGAGCGCAGAAACTCCATACTGATGACGCGTCACTACCCAGATCTGAGTAGAGCTTCTGATTGGTCGTGCCGCGTGGGAAATTTATTTCAACCAATCAGAAGCACTACCCAGATCTGGGTAGTAACGCGTCATCAGTATGGAATTTCTGCGCTCGTTTCTCAGACGTCATTTGAAAAAACTCAACTCTTCTCAAGAACAGCGGTCTCGCACGCGTAAGCATAACGGTATTTGGATTTCTTTTTTGAAATCCATCTCGAGGGCGGACTTCTCGAAGCTGAAATCCGTTTCCGGATTTTGCTTTTGATTGTAAAATTCTAAATCCGCTGGATTTCCAAGTAAAATTCCAGATTTCTCAATCGAAACGCACCCTTAGGTTTTAACACACGGCAAACTGGAAAACTCTTGATTCAACGCCCTGTAAATGACTGAACAAATGGTTGAAATTATCTAATGCGTTTGAGCAAGTTCTGCACTGCCAAGTGCCCAGTGAATAAGCCCCTCCCTTGGAGACACAAGGGCGGTCAGTTGCGTCGGAAAAACGGCGACCAAAGTCTTCAAGAACAGACTGCCACCATTTTTCCTCGATCCGACTGACCGCCCCTGGGTCTCCGAGGATGAATAATCCCCTGCATGCCTTCAGTAAATTAATATTACCTGTAGTGACTGCTTTCTTGTGTGAGGGCTTCTTGACTGGTGGAGCATAAGGCAACAAAAATCCCTCCATGGGCCAAGTGAAGTCCTTCGAGAGACAAAGACAAACATACCGTCGCAATGAATGTACAGCACCATCACAATTTACTATAAACAAATTGGATAGCCTGTTCAAAGACCCTCTATTTTCTCTTTAGCGATCGTCAAGCGTGCTTATGGAAATACAAACTACGGGGGATTTATTGACTGTTAGCGTAAGGGGTTGGGGGTTGCTCCCGCGCTGTCGAATTGGCAGAAGTTTTGCATAGTACTATTTAGTTTGAGGGACTTTGAAAAAAAGAAAGTTTTTTAATGAACTTTCTCTTTGGCCTTTATCAGTAGTAAAAGGTATACATAACACCGTATGGAAGAGGCGATGAACTGAGGAATCGACCCGTCCACATGGTTTCACGACACCATGGGAAAATTAATAAACTCGCCAAGTGTGAAAGCGAATCATCTTAAGCCAGCGAAGGTTATAGCCCCCCTCAAATTTGCGAAAATTTACACGTTTGTATGGTTGTTAGGGCGGAAGGTGGGGTGGGGGTGGGGGCAGTTTGTGCCCCCACCATATAAACGTCTGTACAATTTCGCGACTTTGAGGAGCTATATCTTCGTTAGTTTTCAACAAATCATTTTCAAGCCTGGCAAGCTTGCTAATTTAAAGGCGCTCTTCCCAGCAGAGATCTGAGTAGAGCTTCTGATTGGTCGTGCCGCGTGGGAAATTTATTTCAACCAATCAGAAGCACTACCCAGATCTGGGTAGTAACGCGTCATCAGTATGGAATTTCTGCGCTCGTTTCTCAGACGTCATTTGGCGGGGAAACCAGTGGTAGCGTCGCCGAATCTCGGCTGTTTTTCTCAGGCTACAGATACACAATCAACTAATAGATAACATATGAGTGGGAGGTCTGTATAGCCGTTTAAAGAGGCGAAAAAGTCAGTGTCAATGCAGATCAGACGCAAAAACCATTTTTTGGTAGTTGTAGATTTTAGATTCATCAGGGCATTGCTGTACGCGTAATAAGCAGTGAATTCACATGCAAGGTAGTCATGAAATTTCTACCACGTTAATTTTCTTGAATTTGATGTCAATGTCTTCAAACATGTCTATCCATTCAAAGAATTTTCAATCTTACCGAATACAAAGAAGTTATCGTAAAAATTCACTGGTAATTACGCATGCAGGAATGTAAATTTGAATTTAATACTGGTTGCGGCAACGACTAAGGGATTCATTTTTCACATAACAGATTCATTAATGCGGAATCTTGGGGGGTACTCTTGACCTGGCTTGACTGTAATAGCCAATAAAAGAAGCGGTGGAGTCCTCAAAACAGTCCTATAGTTCAATTCAACACAACACCGAACAAGTCTCACGCACAATTTCAACATAACAAACAAAATTGCTACTCACATTAGTCAAGTCAGGTCCCACAACGGTAACCGCTCTGCTCTCGTCCGATTCACCATTTTTAAGCACCCGTAGCCTTGCAGGGGCGGCTGAAATGAAACAAAAACAATGTCAAACAGCTTCCATGTACAAAACAACATCTCTTACGATACAATTCTCCTTTGAAGGGCACACACAAACAGGAATTCGAGCTTGATCTAAATCTAGCTCCAGCAAGACCCACCCACTCATGACAATTTGATTGAACTTATAATAATTATAATAATAATTAATAATAATAATGTTTATTCATTCCATAACAATACATATCAAAAGTTACAATTATAAATTATCGGATTAAAAACAGTTGAATGATTCGTAACTAAAAACGAAAAAAAAGGAAATCAAAAGTTACAATTAAAGTAGAGTCATATTGCTAAGTTATAATAAATATTACAGCATAGCCTTTTTACAAAGCAGGTCAATGTTAACTAAAGATAGTTGAGACGTCTACCTTTGACGCCTGTGAGAAGTATGGGCAAATTCATTGGTCATGGTTGCACAAGCACCCTATACAGTGAGTACGACGACCGATAGACTGCACTTGAAAATCACCATGCACATGTATCAATTCTGAAGAATAATACAGTGAAATTGGCCGTGGGTCACGTAAGATAAGAGGCCACATGAATGTGGTTCATGTGTTTCCTAATTATTATAATTTATCATCCATCAGAAGTAACATCTATATATTTCTCAGCATAATAGCGTACTTCTTACTCCACAAAAAGCTAGAATTAAATTCTAGAGCTTAAATTTTAGGCACTGAATAGACCGTCTATAGAGAGATTCAACTTTATAAACTTTTATACTAGACAGTAGTTACGGATATTTTACTTGAGAACATCCGACAATGAAAAAGTAGTTATTAGTTATTTCGTATCTTACACTGTCAAAACTTTTCAAATTATTATAAAAATTATTTTATAGACGTTTGGAGTGTTTCAACACCATTGAAGTATTTATACAGCGGAGAAATTCTTTACGGTTTAGAACTATAAAGGAACTCTAAAACTATACTCATGTTTTGTTCGCCAATGCAGCAATTTACCTACTTGTTTACAAGCTCTAAACCCAAACTTTACTACACACAATGGGCCTTGTATATGTAAATGCCAGTTGTTAAGTGGAAAAGACACAACATCATAACTAAAATTTGGTGGGTTAGAAGCGTGGCCAGTTTGAATACATTTTACAAAGGATAAGCAAATTATAAACTTGATATTTAATAAATTCGATGGAAAAAGATCATGAAATCTTTCCAGTTTGGACTTCGTACTTACGCCGCATTTGATGGTTGAAAGAAGTAGTCCCTTGTTTGTAACTGTGAGTTCAGAAAGTTAAAAGCTTTCAAGAAATTCATAAATTTTGAAACTACCAGCAAAACACATTGGAATGAATGACAATTAATGTCAACAGGAACAAAAACCAAGGCAAATTTCTATTTTCCTAGGAGAAAAAAACATGATGGTGCTATTTCGGAATACATATTGCTTCTAAAACTAATTGATAATATGCAAAATGTTTGAGCTGATAAATAATTTACAGAATAAAGTCTGTAAATGTCACTGTTAATCATTTCACCTGCAGTTGTAAATTAACTGTTAAGTCTATTTGGCCTGAATAAATTAATGGCACTTAAGACCAAAGTAAAATTAACACCCAAAAATTATGATACAAAACAATAAGTGTAGCTTTTTGTACACGAGACAAAATTATATTCTGCAAGGCATTTTGTAAACAATAAGACGATGACGGTTATTTGGGGTTCTTTCGATTGGGAAATCTGGATCAAGTTTTTAAACATCCGAAATTTAGATATTCAGATTTGCAATAAAACGCGAAAAAGGAAAACGGATTTCAACCCTGAGAAATGTGTCTTTGGGTTTTCTTTCTTTCTTGTTTGTTTGTTTTTTTGGATCAATTAAAAAGGTTTCTGGGAAACTGCACACCTACCCCTCCCCTAAGCCATCATTTTGCCCAAAGAGAGAAGTGTTAATGTTAGCTTAAGGGAGGGGTAGGTGGGCAGTTTCCCAAAAACCTAAATTTATCCCTTTTGGTGGGGGGGGGGGGGGGGGGAAATCCGAAAAGAGATTTGAAAAACTCAACGTTTCTCAAGAGCAGCGGTCTCGCACGCGTAAGCATAACGGTATTGGATTTCTTTTTTGAAATCCATCTCGAGGACGGACTTCTCGAAGCTGAAATCCGTTTCCGGATTTTGCGTTTGATTGTAAAATTCTCAATCCGCCGGATTTCCAAGTAAAATTCCAGATTTCTCAATCGAAACGCACCCTTAGGTTTTAACACACGGCAAACTGGAAAACTTTTGATTCAACGCCCTGTAAATGACTGGACAAATGGTTGAAATTATCTAATGCGTTTGAGCAAGTTCTGCACTGCCAAGTGCCCACTGAATAAGCCCCTCCCTTGGAGACACAAGGGCGTTCAGTTGAGTCGGAAAAACGGCGACCAAAGTCTTTAAGAACAGACTGCCGCCATTTTTCCCCGATCCGACTGACCGCCCCTGGGTCTCCGAGGATGAATAATACCCTGCATGCCTTCAGTAAATTTATATTACCTGTAGTGACTGCTTTCTTGTGTGTGGGCTTCTTGACCGGTGGAGCATAAGGCAACAAAAATCCCTCCATGGGCCAAGTGAAGTCCTTCGGGAGACAAAGACAAACATAGCGTCGCAATTAATGTACAGCACCATCACAATTTAGTATAAACAAATTGAATAGCCTGTTCAAGGACCCTCTATTTTCTCTTTAGTGATCGTCAAGCGTGCTTATGGAAATACAAACTCCGGGGGATTTATTGACTGTTAGCGTAAGGGGTTGAGGGTTGCTCCCGCGCTGTCGAATTGGCAGAAGTTTTGCATAGTACTATTTAGTTTGAGGGACTTTGAAAAAAAGAAAGTTTTTTAATGAACTTTCTCTTTGGCCTTTATCAGGAGTAAAAGGTATACATAACACCGTATGGAAGAGGCGATGAAGTGAGGAATCGACCCTTCCACATGGTTTCACGACACCATGGGAAAGAGCGCCTTAAAATTAATAAACTCGCCAAGTGTGAAAGCGAATCATCTTAAGCAAGCGAAGGTTAGAGCCCCGCAAGTTTGCGAAAATTTACACGTTTGTATGGTTTTTAGGGCGGAGGGTGGGGTGGGGGTGTGGGGAGTTTGTGCCCCCACCATATAAACGTCTGTACAATTTCGCGACTTTGAGGAGCTATATCTTCGTTAGTTTTCAACAAATCATTTTCAAGCCTGGCAAGCTTGCTAATTTAAAGGCGCTCTTCCCAGCAGAGTAGACAGATTTTCCCCAACTTGTCCATGTCAAAAGTAGAAAAAAAAAAGAACCGTGGAAAGGTTTATTGATATTCAACAAGACCTATATCACCTTTTGATGTTGTTGCGCAGACTTGAGTGATTGAGTAGTGTTTTTCGGACTAAAGTTTACTGAAATAGCCGAATAGGATTGAGCTAAACTTCATATCACTTCTATGAGATAAGAATGTAAAGAAGTAATCAAGTTCGATGGTTTTTAAACTTTTTTTTAAGAGCTGATGACTATAAAATTGCAGACGTACCGAGTTCCAAGTGCCATCTTCATAAACAGGCCAGGACAAAGCCCTTTTGTTCCATTCCGGGTTAGAAATGGTTGAATTTTTCCACTGACCCATATTTAGGAAGTCTTCCTGTTTAACAGCCCATCTACAAATAATAAATCATAGTTCGACAGTTTTCATAACATCTAAACATCAGCCAGAAAAAGAAGTACCCCAGTGCAAATGTAGGTGAGTTCAAGTGTAGGTGGCCATTGGCAAGCTGCATGCTATCGGCAGAGTGCTGGCAAAAGACGTCTTTAATCAAATCATCAAAACAGCACTGGTGCCTAATAAAGAAACTAGTATGCCAAAACACGGCTGCTCACTCGTGGTGAAATTGTCTTCGGCAAACGCTTTTGCATAGAGCAGATATTTTAACTTAGGAGATGTGAATAATTAACTACCGTCATTGGACGTAATCCACAACTTATATTAACAGCTTCAATGAGCGCACTTCAGTCATTCGTTAAAGGCTGCAGTCTGGTAGCCAAAAGCTTATGTTTCTTGCAACTTTTTCGCCAGCGAACGCTTTTTATTAGCTTTCCAAGCATCATTTTTGTTAACTGTTATGTCTGCCATGAGTACGATGACGCCTTAAGTGATTACGATTAGCAGATGGAAATTGTGACTAAACTAGTAATAACCAAAAGTTAGAGAGTGCTGGCTTCAGGCGTCTGATCGAAGGTGAAAGCTCCTGCTCCAAAGCTGGTGTTTTGAGTAAGATTCACGTGATAAAAGGTCAGACTACGAGTGATACAAGGTCCAAACGCGAGTGATCAGATTGCGCTCCACGCATTCTATTCATTCTTCGTGGAAGCGCAAGGGAATGCTCGCTACATACAGTTGACTTCCGATAACTCGAACCCTCTAGGGAAATCGAAAACAGTTCCGTTATCGGGAGCCCAAAGCAAATAACCTGAAATAAGGAAATTAGCAAATGGATGGGGAGGGAATGCAAGTATCGTGCACACTTCACTTCAAGGGCAGCAAGAAATAAAGACTGATATGCAGGAATGGACACTGATTTGAACTGGAGCGACAAAAAAGTAAAGCCAAAGAATTGACACGGTTGTTTTGAACTAAATTCAGTGTTTCGGACTTCAGTACACCGTTGTCACGTCCTAAAAACATGATTCCAGTTACCGAGGGTAAAATTATATATAGAAATGATCTGAAGGGAAACAAAAATTACTTCGAGTTAGAGGGAGGCTCGAGTTACCGAGGGTAAAATTGCAGTAAACGTATGAAAGAAATCCACGGGAAATCGACGGTTCGAGTTATCGGGCCGCTCATGCGTAATAGCAACCTCGAGATTAGGATTACAGGTTCAGCTAGTCTCCCGCAATTAACAACTTACCTTTGAGTTCCATCTGCATGTCGCTTTGGCAGAAGAGCAACTGAGTATCTACAACCATTGTACTCATCCTTTAAGTTGGCAAGACCAGTCTCAGGGTTCTCCTCGGCCTTGTCTAAAAGAGCTGGACTGGGTTCCAATCGGGAATCATTCATGGAATGTAAATTTTGCAATCCACTGGTTGCTTCCCTTGGCCTTTCCGAAGACTTTTCTGCAGACGTCGTGTCCTCAATCAGCCGATTTTCGATGTAAGTCAACACAAGGTTGGGTTTTGAAAGAGAATAGATCTGGCCGGTTGGACTAAATCCCCACTGTTGATTAACATCACTAGGATTTCTGCAAGTATTGAAAATGTCAGACATTAGCGTTTCGTTCGCCATTTTAGAAGCGAGAAGGGAACAGGAGCCGAATGTTTTTTCCCTGTCCTTCGTAACATTCCCAGAAGTCTGTGCGAAAGTTGACTCGGCCCAGTTTCCTCTCATTTCTAAAGTGGCAAATTTACGGTTTATGCAACTGGCGCCAGATACTGTACAGGACAAGTGCAATAATAATACCAGTCTCTACATTAAATCACTTAAGTGTGGCCTAGCATTCAAATGAGAACTACTGAAGAGTACTTTGGAGTGTTACCTTCTATTGTGCTGTACACGTTCTTTCTTACTTTTAAGTCTATCGATCATAACAACCTAAAGGGTGTCCAATCTAATAAAAGTGACTTCAGTAACAACTTCCCTGTACCATTCAAATGAAAGCCACTGAGCAGTACTCTACTGGAGCAGGCTGTTTATTGTGCTGTACAAGGTGCTTCTATTTTTTGAGCAAAGCTACTGGGCAGCACTTTACTGTCGGGCTGTTTATTATGCTGTACAAGGTGGTTCTAACTTTTGAGTCGGTGGTGTTACCATTCAAATGAAAGCTACTGAGCAGTACTTTCTTCTGGTACTGTTTAGTACGCTGTAGAAGGAGGTACCCAAGCAAGCACGCATTACCTTTTTGCAATGACCACAGGATACCCATGCAAAGAAGTTTCCGCGTACTGGACAGTAACAGCATGCTCTGACCTAGACAGCACAAGCTGAGGCATTGCTTTACTATGGATCAAGCCACTCTGAAACCGAACAAGACAATTTATCAACTTTTTACCATAAACTTTGAGGCGTGATAAAAGGAGAATATCCGTTTAAGTTCAGCTATCAAGTTACAGCATGCGTGATGACTCACACTGTCCTGTAACACTCAGGGTTTGTACTCTTCTTTGAACAAAAAATTCAAGGACTTTTCAAGGACACATTCCGCATTTTTCAAGGACTATATTCAGTGCAAAAAAGAGCCTTGAGTCTATGTCTTTTTTTAGTCGTCCACATCAGGAAAATTTTTGTCTTTCCTCTTTTTCCTTTGCAGTTCTCCTTAAACTATTAAGTTAACATTGAAATTCAAGGACTTCCCAGTACCGACTGCAATTTTCAAGGACTTTCTAGGGTTCGCACGCACCTTAAAAGTTCAAGGTGCGTGCGAACCCTGACCACTGTACTAGCATACTGATTTCAAAGCTGCTAATTGTCAACTAGACTGGGCAGGGCTCGGAAAAAGCCCCGTCCGGTAGTCCACGACTGGACAGGTAGTTTTTCTGGCTGGGCAAGTAACTGTTAAAGATCAAGGGTCCAAGCAAGTCATCTTCTAACTAAAGGCCCATTCACACCGACGCTTAAACATGTTTACAGCGCGACTACTATAACCTGAGCCACCTTGACAAAAATGACCAATCGGATTACAGGAAAATAATTCCACTCTACACTTATTCAAAAAAATCGTTAATCGGGCAAACAAAATGTAAGGGCTGCTTGCCCAAAGGACAAGCTGGAATTCAAGTTTCTTTTGAGTCCTGCTGGGGAAATGTTGTTATATTTCGGATTGGCGAATGGTTAAACATTGCCGTTTTGATTTGTGGCCCAAATTTTCCAATCATCCCAAACAAGTACAGTCAACACTCGCCCTAGGGACACCTAACTGTTACAAACAACCCGCTAATAAGTAACTCCCGTTACTATGAACAGAAGTCTCGCTATTACGGACTTACAAACACATTTTCAACTCTCATCATAATGGCTATTGACCGCAATGAAAATCTAATTCTTTCATATTGTGTCACAGACTATGTCCCCTTGGTTTAGCATATGCTTCTTCTGTTGCACATTAATCAAATTTCATTTTTTTCCTCTACTTTCTAAAATCAGCATTCAGTCTTGCTGCTTCAAGTAACTTCATCCAGTCTGGGTATGTTTCTATTCGTATTGTAGTCAATGTATTAAAAAAAGCATGTCACCCCTAACACATTTCAGCCCACTCCTCCACCCCCCTCCCCCTAATACAGGCAATTCCCCACTTTAGAAACTCTAGGGAGAATAGGTACAACTGTACAGGCTTTGGGTGCAGTCATCCCTGGGATAGCCTGCGTAGCAAGCGTTTCCGTTTGGTTTCGGAGCAAACAAATACCGATTTTGGCTGAGCGAGAAATGAAACGAGAGCCAAAAAATGAAAGAGAGGGGAGGGGGAGGGGAAGGAAGGAAACGCTTGCAGACAAACCCCTCGAGTTCGCCAGCGAACGCAGCGCCTGATTGACGCGGCTAGTCGAACAATATTGAGATGTGTCGATCAAAGGTTTGTTTCATACTGAGAGCTCATGTATGGTACGTGACACGCATATTTTTTTCCTGTGGTTGTTGTTTATTCTGGTCGGCGAGATTTGCCCTCCATCTTTTGAAACGCAAAGCTCTTCTTGCGACTAAGGATTTCAGGTCGTTTAATTTATTCTCCAAAGTGCCTCCTGGATCTGAATAACTAAAATCGATTTTCTTTTGTCAGCGAACGCGATGGTTTCTGCAATATTTTGTCATGCTGAACTTCATCAGCTATGGAGAACTGCATTGTGACTCAGTAAAGATTGCTGATTAAGCAATGATCGTTCGGATTCATTGAGATTTCACCATTAACGCGTTCCATAATACATAAAAAATTATTTTGGTTTCACACACGCGTCCTCTTTTCCGCTCCACGAAGGCCAATTATTTTATTGGTCAATTATGACAGTTGTTGACCGCATCAAAAGTCGGTGCGCGAACTCGAGGCATGACAGCAGGCCAAGAGGGTGGTTTTCAAAATCCCGGGGTTTGTCTGCAAGCGTTTCCTTTTTTTCTTCCCCACCCCCTCCCCGCTCTTTTACTTGCACCATTTTTCGCGCAGTCTTTGACTCTCGTTCCTCTGTCTTTCTTTGCTCCTAAAACGCGCGGAAACGCTTGGTACGCAGGCTATCCCTGGGATCGATAGGGTGGACCAGCGTTAGTACAGTCAAGATTAGACAATGGTAGTCAAGGCAACCATTCACCAATGATTAGAACATTGTCTTGTCCACACAAACTATCCCAGAAATCGTTCTGCCGAAATCTTGTACTCATTTCTCTTATAGCTTCTGGAACAGAGAATAGAGAGTTTCAAATGCCACAACGGCGAAGGCATCGAGGACGTCAAATAAGCAACAGGCTTAATAAGCAAACAACAACTCTGCACGTTCATCACACTTCAATTTTGGATTTCTTTGCCGACACTGAACAACGTCGACGTGAAATTTCCAAATGAAACGATTAGTGCAAGACTTAAAGACTGACGGACTGAATGCAGTGAAAACATCGCTAAATAAAATGAATTTACATTCCTTCAAACTTTATCTCATCTTTTTAGACCCGCTCACTTAATCAATGTGGGCGGTTTTTCCTGGATTTCAATTCTTAAGGACTGCATCCAGGTCCAAAGAGATAAAGGACAATTCGTTGTCGTCTATTCACGTCCTCCATAAAACAACCCAATTGGAAGTTTCACGTCGTAGTCAGTGCCGGATCCAGACTTTGAGGTAAGGTGAAGGGGGAGGCGGTCGTTTAGACCTTTAGATAAGGGAGGGGGGCTGATCTCAAACAAAATTTTTTTCGGCGCATCGGGCCTCAGTTTGGTCTAAAAAGCCCCTCCCCTGGATCTGCCACTGGTAGTCGTGCAGTAGACGTTAAAGAAATACATAAAAGAGCGTGATGCACGTGCCGAGCTGTTGTTTAATACTCGTTAGACCAATTGTTTTTTCATATTGTGGTTGAAGCCGTCGTTGAAGCCGTCGTTGAGATTGCTTAATTTCGCTTTCAACACACACACAAGAGACGAATTTTCTTTCTCTTTCTGATTTTGGATACACTCCTTGGAAATTTTTCCTTCATGTACATCGTTCTATACCTGCGTTATAATCCATTCCTGAGCATCAGGTGGCCATGAACTTTTTCCTTTTTTCCTCTTTTCCTTGATAGCGACTTCTGGGTAAAGTACAAGATTCTTGTTCTCTTTAAACTGTAGAAAGCAGCCATTCTCATCGACACGCATCACCTTGTGTCAACCAAAACAAATTTAAAATAAAAACTTTGAGTTAATTCTCTCTACTTTATGATAAAGTGTCTTTGTTTTACACAATTACAGACGTCGCCGCTAGTCACGTAAACTGAAGTTCTTCTTAAAAATCGACCGTAAGTACGAACGTCCACCCATTCATGTAAGCGGATGTGAAATGTCCTATTTACTAGCTTAAGAGTTCAAGGCATATTCAAATTATGATTAACTTGATATTAGACATCCATGTTACGATCAATTGACAGCTGTCAATATAGGGTATCCGCTCACCAATGTGATATAACTTTATCGCGGGCTCAGGTGTACAACTCATCGAGGTAATTTGTTTTTTTAAGTTCTCTCATAACTTGTTATTCAACAGATCGCAGGCTCACAAAACTTTACTTCAAGCCCCAGTTGTTCAAAAGGCAGATAACGCTATCCACTGGATAATCTCTAACCAGTACATAAGTAATTGGTTTCTCTAATACTTATCCACTGGATAGTGATTTATCTGTTGGATATAATATATTGAATAACTGGGACCAGGAAGACATTTCTTAAAAGTCCCCACGAGAGCTTCGCTTTTGGCTTTGGATAAAATTATTTATTTATTTATTTATTTAAAAACTTCCCCAAGAGGCCTGGATAACTCACAGAGCAAGCTCCACGACGAGGTCCAGAAAAAAAAGATTATTAATACTGATACATACAATAATGACAATGCACTGGAAACAACAGAAACGGCAATAACAAACAGAATAGGGGCAAACAGTGGTAAAAGAATCAGCAAAACATTCGATCGAGCAAGCTGGTCAATGGCCCACAGGAGCGTACCTGTAGGCCCGGCCCTGCAAATTTTTTGGTTTGGTCACTCTACCACTTGTAATCTACCGCTTGTAATCTACCGCTTGTAATAAATGATGTGTTGTTGGGGTGAGCTAAAAAGCTTAAGAGCTCAAAGTGTTGGTGAGGTCAATGCCTACAGGATATGTGGAAATGAAAGTCAGCCAGGCCTTCAACTAGTCGAAAAGCTTGCTACGCCCCTGGCTGAATAGTGAAGCACTTGATACACACACTATAACTCTTTATATTAATGAAGTATTCAGTCACCTGGAGACTCTGGGCTTGGGAGAGCTCGCTTCCTGGGTCAAGCAAATTCACAAGATGCCGTTTGCAGCCTGATGGGAAACCATTCACTGCTCTCCACAGAGAAGACTTTTCTTTGCCTCTGCCTTCATCATCAAAACTCTCTCTTTGAACCATCTCCTTTTCACCCCAAAGGGACATGCAAGTGGCTTTATCCAGGCACAGCTCGAGAACAACAACTGCAAAACAGAAACCATAAATAAACTTAGGGCGCCTTCCAGTAGTCAGAACTGGCCGACTAGTCTCGTCAGTTTCAAAATGAAATATTAGTCTCTTCTCGAAATTTTTACCAAAACCCATCACTGACGTGTGCACCATTTAAGAACAAACTGATATGGCTGGATGGTTCTTGTTTACAGAGAAATTCTCCTCAAGACTAAACTGGTCTGACCAGCTAGTTGTGACAATGATAAGCGCCCTTAGGCTATAAAGGTTCGCACTAGAGGAGATTCCTCCGGATTCACAAATGTTTCCACGTATTCCGATTCGTAGGCGTTTACACGTATTAGCTGATCCGAGAACATTCATTTGGATACAAAGTATCCTTCAAGTAGAGGGAAAAATAATACGGTTCCAAAGTGATCCGGAAAATCTCCTCTAATGTAAACGTACACTACAAACACTACAATCAGCGTTAAAAATTCGAAAAACGTTAAAGGCAAAGACTATCATTTTGCAGATGAAAAAAATCTACCTTGAGTGCAAGGAAATTACTGTACTATTAATAAAATACTTGTTATTGTGAAAATGAATATGTGGCGGTAATCAGTCTACCTGCGAATCCCGCATCTACCATCAGGAATTTTTTTAAAAGACGAGTAATTGAGAGCTTGATTGGGTTCATTTTGCCTATATTGCGACTGTCACGTACTTAATAGCAACGGAACTTAACGTTAGCAGGGCTGTCATTAAGAGGCGGGGACCCGGGATTTCCCTCGGCAACAATGAACGTGGCCTCCAGCTACTTTCATAGTAAAATAGAAGAAAAATAGAACCAAAAGAAATCCCTAGCTGTTTGATTCGCCACCTATTTGTTGTATTTACCTGGTAACGTGAAATCTTAGTGACAACCCTGCGTTAGTGTGCGAAATTATCGGTCAATCTTACATATCACAGCTTCATGTCCCAAGCATTACATCAAATATTACAGACATAAAAGATAACGTTGAGAAACCGGTTGAAAAACCGCAGTTGCAGTCTATTTTAAAGTTTGTCCATCAGTACCTTCTTGTTTTCTACGGTTTCACACAATTTGGTGGCAGTTTCCACTGTCTGAATTTTGATGAATTTTGTGACACAGCCTGTCTCATTTAATACGCTTACCATGGTATCCGATCACCTCGCCACCAAATCATCTCGCTACTAACGAAATCGCCACCAAGAATAGAACTTAGCTTTATTGTAATTACAAGTTACAAGTAAACGCGACAAAATAATGAAAAAAACTTTCACGAACAGAAATTTTCTCTTAACCGTTACCTTTTTATTATTATCATATTGCAAAGAAATGACTGGTGGTTATGAAACTTCTTCATCTATCAAATGTTTAAGTTTACATTCACTGAACCTATTACCCAGTATTTGAAGTATTAAGAGCATAAGAAGTTCAACGCAAAGAAGGTCAATTAGGATCGACAGATTTGTATCTGAATTAACTTCCAATTAGAATAAGCTTGACGAAAAAGTAAATCTTAGGTAAGTAATCCTAGGCTTTGCATTAAACTGTGTCAATTATTTCCTAGTCATTCGTCGGTGGCGAGTCGACTTCTTAGTGGCGATTTTGTTGGTGGCGAGATGGTTTGGTAGCGAGATGACCGTAAACCTCACCATGAGGTGGTTTAAAGTCCTCTCCATAAGACAACCATATTTCCTGATCATAAACCAGGTCATGTACGTCGGTGATCTCCTCGCCATCCCTTGTAAATACTCTCTTAGCAATTCTCCTTCCAGCTGGGCCACCGCCACTCTCCGACACCTTTGAACAGCTTGTGCAGGCATCAAGAAATCGATGCATCAGTTGCGACTTATCGCCTTGAATCCCTTTTTCCGCCTCGTGTAAGTTGAAGTGAAGAACAACATAGCCTTTGGAGAAGCCATTTTCAAAAACCTAGCAACACGAAAAACACAACCTAATCACAAGATCATTAGCGTTAGATGATCACTAGTTCAAAAATTTCCTATAGCAAATAGGGTTCTGCCGAAGCTCAGGCGAGCGGTGAAATCCCCGTGTAGCGTACCACCCGTTATACAGGTATAACCATGGTGCTTCATCATCATCATCATCATTTATTAGCCTTTTTTACAGCAAATTTAACAGGATACAGCAGGTTGTTAGGCGAGGAGACCTCAAGAAACCACCAGGCTTATAAAGAGAGGCCACCTCGACATCACAATATTATAAGAAATAAGGGCTGCGAAGAAGTGCGGCTAAACTAATTTAGTAACTTAAAGATGCGTCCGCACGGCTTAGCGAACTAGCCCAATAGCTTTCAACGGCCACGGTAGCAGTTTGGCGCGTATTTTCACATCGCTGGCTTTTTTAATGACTTAAACTCATCACAAATAGATGAGCTTGGGAACTGGTGCCTAAAAGGTTAGCGGGGTGCCAGATGCCAAGCTGCAGGGGAGGTATCCATGGCAACCCTGGAACGCGGGAACCACCCAAAAGAGCGCCCGCTAACGGGCACCGTCATACTGAAACAATCAGTGGAAATAACTTACCTGAAAATACTTACCCTGATGACCCAACGCAAAAGAGGGAGGGAGGAGAGCGTGCAAGAATCCGCAATGATTCGCAATAGCAAAGCGCTTGATCCGCAAAGATCAGCTGATAACACTGCACGTGTAAAGCAATGAACCTTGAAACCCTGTGAAACCTCTAGAGGCCACCCCAAAGGTCACGTGCTGCAGATGGGGGAGATCGCTAGCTGCATTTGCTCACATTTTAACTTTGCCTAAATGATATTTAGCCACATTAAAAATTTCAGCTAACCTATTCACAAAAATCAGTCTTAGAGTTTGCAAGTATTGAGCGATTAAATCAGTCTTTTAATGTAATAAGTCATCGGTCAGTATCAACAGTTTCGCAGGGCTGGCACTAAGATTTCAAGCTGCTTTGTATAGGCAGTTTCAAAACATATGCTGTATTACCGTAAATGACCTAATAAACGCCCACTTCCAAATAAACGCCTCTTATCTAAAAAACGCCCCATCAACGCTGTGAAAATTGTAATTGACACAGGTCTCTAATAAATGCCCCCTGTCCATTAGACGACCCCTATGAGAATTACTCCAATCTGATTTCAGTTCTAAACAAACATATTAATTACCGACATAATCAGATGTTTACAGTTTGACTATCAAGTACAAATATTTACCTTTAATTTGAGTCCTTGTTTAGCCAACAATCTACTTTCTGGGGCTATATGCGTCATGTGTTTGTATCTGTAATTCTCTAGTCCTGATGATTCCTCGTCTTGCGCTGCTCCCTCCACTATTCCCAGATGTGAATTCAGGGTGGGTATCGCACTTGACAAATCACTGATGTGCTGTTCAACCTTCATTTTAAAGACAACAAATGTCACTTATACAAGTCCGTACTATTCTCACTGCATAATTAATTAGCTTATACTACTACATGAGAAAATAATTTCTGCAATTTGATTGGCTTAGAGCAGTGGTATTTCAACTTAATTTGAAATACCGACATGCAGGTGAAAATTACAAACCTTTTACGGGTAGTAGTATAAACAAATAATAGCATGATTTGTAAGTGATATTTGGCATAAATACCACTCGTGATATTTCAAAATTGTCTCAAATTTCACTCGCTAACGGCTCGTGAAATTACGTATAACAATTTCGAAATATCACTCGTGGTATGTATGCCATATATCACTATATCACTCGCTAACGGCTCGTGAAATTACGTATAACAATTTCGAAATATCACTCGTGGTATGTATGCCATATATCACTACTAAACATGCTATTACCTATACTAAGGGCCTGTCTACTTGGAGGTGGGCGATCCTAGATAGTTGAGGTAACCCGCTTAGGTTGGGTAAAAACATAACCCTCCTTTGCATGCAATCTTACAACCCCGCCATCCTGGGTTGCACTTTCTCAAGATTATTGAATGGTCGCTAAGCACGTAAACAAGAAAAATGCTGGAAAACCACGTGTTTTGGCGATTAATGTTCTTCAACACTCACTTGCTGCTCTTGCTGCAACCTTCAGGGCTGTGGCTTTCTATTGTTACCTTTAATAATGATGCAAAGCCACCGCCAAAGTGATTTTTGCGCAAAATTGATGTATCACGAGACCGACCCCGGCTAGGCGGGTTAACCCACCTTGAAACGTTTACATGGCAAAATTTGCCCCGGCTGAGAGGGTAACCCGGGCTACCCGCCTTGGCAGGTAACCCCACCTATCATGTAAACGTGATCTAATTAAACTGAGAGATTATATGGACAGGCGGGTTACCGCACCTAAGCGGGTTACCTCACCTACCTCCGATCCCTCACCTCCATGTAAACAGGCCCTNTTACAAACCTTTTACGGGTAGTAGTATAAACAAATAATAGCATGATTTGTAAGTGATATTTGGCATAAATACCACTCGTGATATTTCAAAATTGTCTCAAATTTCACTCGCTAACGGCTCGTGAAATTACGTATAACAATTTCGAAATATCACTCGTGGTATGTATGCCATATATCACTATATCACTCGCTAACGGCTCGTGAAATTACGTATAACAATTTCGAAATATCACTCGTGGTATGTATGCCATATATCACTACTAAACATGCTATTACCTATACTAAGGGCCTGTCTACTTGGAGGTGGGCGATCCTAGATAGTTGAGGTAACCCGCTTAGGTTGGGTAAAAACATAACCCTCCTTTGCATGCAATCTTACAACCCCGCCATCCTGGGTTGCACTTTCTCAAGATTATTGAATGGTCGCTAAGCACGTAAACAAGAAAAATGCTGGAAAACCACGTGTTTTGGCGATTAATGTTCTTCAACACTCACTTGCTGCTCTTGCTGCAACCTTCAGGGCTGTGGCTTTCTATTGTTACCTTTAATAATGATGCAAAGCCACCGCCAAAGTGATTTTTGCGCAAAATTGATGTATCACGAGACCGACCCCGGCTAGGCGGGTTAACCCACCTTGAAACGTTTACATGGCAAAATTTGCCCCGGCTGAGAGGGTAACCCGGGCTACCCGCCTTGGCAGGTAACCCCACCTATCATGTAAACGTGATCTAATTAAACTGAGAGATTATATGGACAGGCGGGTTACCGCACCTAAGCGGGTTACCTCACCTACCTCCGATCCCTCACCTCCATGTAAACAGGCCCTAATTGCAGGAATTTTGTATGATCCGTGCCAATTCACTCGGGTTTGTGTATGTTTGTTTCAGTTGCAATGCTTTGCGTCCCTTCGCTATAAATTTGACTGTGGGGCCTAAAACGTTGTCATTTTTGATGATCATGAACCGGGACCACAGTTAATTTTTGCAATCCACCGCCCCGCGGCCAAACAAGTGCATTTGTTATCGTTTACGCGTAGCGGCAACTTTCGCCGACGAGATATCAACAACATCGGTAAAAATACAACTCGGCGTAGGACCATGAAACATTGTTAGCTTAATTTGCTCTTTCTTTCTGCGCTACAGGAATGGCGTAGCGCGCGACGCGATTCGCATCTCGCAAGAGGGTGGTAACTTACTTTTGAGCAGTATTGGGGAGGTTTTCTGATCGGTTAAAAATTTCTTGTATAAAGTGCGCTAAAAACTGGCCACTGATAGTTTCTTTCTGATGGTTGCATCAAAAGCGTTCCACTCTGCAATTGCCCTAAACGTGAAGGTTCGCCCTCCCTCAGTTTTCCTTGTGTATTTAGGACAAAGAAAGTTTAAACCGGGAATAATTCTACAAAACAACTCACACCTCCTTTATTTCATTCTCAATCTCTGCTTCAGTCATAGCCATAATTTCTTTGGAAACAACTTCTTCATCCTTCAGACTTTCCTCTAGCTGTTAAAAGTGAATGAATAATTTAGAATAAGAAGTTACACATTTACACTTTTAATAATTAAACTCCGGCAACTGTTGAAGCTGCAAGTACACGTAACAGAAAGGGTTCTGTTTTTGGTCCAGTTTTGAGAATGAATTTTCATTTGTTATAGCCAACAAAAACAGACCACTGGCAACCAGAAGCTGAAATTTGGCAGGAAATATTTGGATTAATTTAGTTTTCTGTGAAACTGCCCACATACCCCTCCCCTAATTGCTTTTCACCTAAGGCAAAATCTTGGTTTAGGGGAGGGGTAGGTGGCCAGTTTCCCTGAAACCTAAATGTGCTTCACTTGCCAAGTGACATTAGCAGCTGAGATATTCAACAGATAATCGGAAAAGTCAAGAAGACCATTTTCTTTTGATAAAAATATCAAGGCTACAACCAGGAACAAAATGGGTTGATACACAAATACCTTTTTAATCATAGCAAAAATGAAAACCATCGCCAAATGAATGCCTGTTTCCCTCCCTCTGCAACCTCCCCTCCCCCTCCCCCTCCCCTTACACAATGCGGTTTAGGAGAATTATACACATTGGCTTTTAGACTAAAACAATTTTGAATAGAGGGTGAGGAGGGGGCTTACTTTTTTTGTTAGAGGAGATGGTAATATGGCGCAAACTTAGGAAATAGATGGAACTGTCTCAACAGTTTTGTCTCAGGTTGAATCTATGGGTTGTTAACTTGTTTTCCTTTCCCCCCCCTTTTTTTTCGAAAACATGAGTTTCCATACCTGTTGTTTGTAAGCTTTACTTTGTTTTAATCTATCTTTGGTGCTAAACAGAAGTGTGGAAATAAAGTGATATGCTCCTTTAGGACTGAAGCGCTCTGCACCTCTTGTCACCCACACAGGGCCTAGAATAACACTAGTTGATGGCTGAAGAATTCTGTCCAGTACAGGAACTGTAAAAGAGAATGGTAACTGATCAGAACTGCATTCAAAAATATTGTTACTGTATGGCAAAACAAGATTTTACCACTGGCAAGAAACTTTTCTTGTTCACTTGCCCGGGGGCAAGGGCCAGTCAGTTCATCTTCTAACTAAATCATACACCATGAAAAACCATGTACCCAAAGAAATGTATAGACTGTAGCCAGGGAAAAATAAAATGGGAGAATTCAACTTTCGTTTTGTTTTTATTTTTGGTTTTGTTTGTCTGCCCTGCACAGAATTTATTAAAATTATCATATAAAGGTAAGTGGGTTTATTACTGTTCAACTTTATACAAAGCATTAAAAAAACGTCAGCTAACCATCAGAGAAGCTCTTGATTTCCTTTCCCTGACAGTCAAACAAAAGCCTGGCTCCTGACTCTAGGTTTAACTTCTTCGTGCAGTCATCCAAGAACTACAGAGATTATAATAATAATTGTAATATTATTATTATTATTTCTATTCATCACATTTATATTTTATATGTTAAAACTCAGTTGGTATAAGTTATCATGTACAGGCCATAAGATGATCTAAGAAACATCTTGTTAATCCTCTTCTTCAAATAATATTCTACAGAAACCTTTTGTGCTATACACCTTCACATACATGTACAAGTAGCTGTGAGGGGTTAGCTTCAAGGGTAAATGCATTATTCACTTACAATGCATTGGATGTACACATTTTTGGTAAAACATCCCTCAACTTGAAAATTCCCAACATAATAAATTTTTAAGTTTAACAAAGATCTGGCTCTTTCTCCCGATCAAACTAGATGCCAAAGTTGTCCTTGACTGAGCTAAAAGCAATGACGTCACAACAACTGATTCAGGGGCGAATGGGTTAAACAGCTGATCTATACCTCATCAAATCTCCCAGCTACAATCTCCACTCCCTCAGAACTTTCACCATTTCTAAACACAAGAATTCTTCTCTTCTGACTTTCAACTAATGACTTCATCCTCTTGGACAAAGATGGCTTTGTGCGACCTCTGGATCGATCCTCAGGGAGAACAATGCCACTTAACGTCCATGAAGCTGATCTTCTCAGTTCTTCTCTGTCTGTTATAAACAACAAACTGGATCAATTCTCTATCCTCTGATAATCAAGCACTCTGAGATTATTGGAGACACACTGGATGCCTAACTTCATGTATCAAATGGACTTCAGAGGTGTGTGCAACACTTCAAGGCTTAATACTTAAACAACCAGGGTAAAAGACCATAACAATTAAAGACCATTTAGAAAGACCACAAAAGAACACCAATGAGAGTACAGTGTATGCACTATTGATCACAGGAGGTCAACAATGTCAGTCTTGTTAAGACAAAGCAAACTATTTATGATGACTTTCAAACATGTTGTCAATTAAAAACTTTGATACTACAGTTGAATCCTCCCTGATGAAGGGCTCTCTCTCTGAGGGGTCAATTTTCAACTTGGTTGATTTTAAACCAATTTTACTTTGTTACCAATAGAAACCTTAAGATTTGACTATGAGTATAACATTAAGTATGAGTACAACTTTAGAATTTTGAACTACCTGTACATGTTGATGTACCAGTAGTTACCAAACATGTATGTCCCCAAAATAATTTTGTCACTCTGTGCTATTGCTAACCAGAATATTGAAAGATGTACACTGTAAGAGATAAAAAGTGTACATAATTATATCTGGGGCACATGACATTGGTTTGAAAACATCACTTTTTAATTGCACTCAATCTTGTATTAAAAGTCCAGTCTACATAATGTAAAGGTCCCCTACAGTCCCGTACAAGACTACACTCAAGCAGATGACCAAATGACATCACCTGTATTTACTTGAATTTTACTAATAAATTATTATTACCTCGTATGGTAGCATAAGGATCACGGAAAGGCTCTCCACAAGAAACATAAACATCCACATCCCTTGGCAGCTGGTTAGCATGTGCAACTGGAGTTCCATCAGATAAAAACAGCTTTCTTGCAGCAGACACAAGTCCTAGTTTCTCGGTGCAGGCATCAAGTAGCTGAAGGATTGATTATAACAAGACAAGTTGTGAACAAGAGTAATAAATATAATAGTCATCCAATCAAAGTTGTTCAAAGCCTGTTTACCTGCTGAAGATCTGGAACAGTTATCCGTGCATAGTTATCCCTGTTTCCATTCTGAAAGGCCCTGACACAAATGAGCTGAGGCTTCCTCTTGAACAATGGTTTAGTTTTCTTTCCACTAACAGAACTGGACACTAAAGAAAGATTCAAATAATAGTATTACTACAATGCAGGAATACTTTTAAACCATAAAATTTAATATCATAGAAGTCATAGTAACCGTTTAAATTTAAAGGAATTCCTGAAACATGGGTAAGTAAAAATCACTGTTCCCTCTCTTACAAATTTAAATACAAGTTAAACACATAAACAAAACCTTCGAATGGGTTCCATTAGAACAATCATTTCTTACCATTAAAATACGACTGCTTCAGAAAAATAAAAAAATTAATGTAAAATGAAAACTTTATTAGTAATTACAACGTCTTTTCCTGCATCATTTCCTATGTCAGTACGGTTTTCTTTGAGGTTTTCTGCAGACAGAGGTTCCTTTGAAGTAGAAGGCGTCCAAACAACCCACCCTTCTAGCCCGTCAAAGACTTTTAAGTATTATAATTTGTATTTTTATTATAATCAGTTACAGCTTATAGTAAGTTGTAACATACCCTGTAGTTTATAAACCAGTTAACAGTGACTCCTTTTCAAAATTCATGGTGGCTCCATGATTATGCAACCCTCAACAGTAGCATTAAGTAATCATGCGCAAATGTATACTCACTATAAGTTATCTTTCACTTTACCTGAAGTGTTTCTGGAAAGTGATGAAGTTGCAGAGCTAAATGAGCCTGATCTGTACAAAGCAAAAAATTACAAACGGTTTTGTTTTGAATAATGTTAGATAAACAGAGAGTGTAAAAGGAAGAGGCTCAGTTTATAAAATAAATGACAAAGCTTGTTCCTGTTGCACTATTAAGTTTAACAAAGACACTTGGAAATGTTAAGAACATTAACATTAACTTCTTTCAAGTCCTTAAATTCCCACGCACTTATAAAGTCACATAAACCACTTGCCATGCCTTTTATTCCTTTATTAAATGTATGCATTACCTGTTTCTGGTGGCTGGAGCAGATACTGGGCGGGTGCGTTGCTTTGGACTCTGATTGGTCAATGTCCAGTCTGTCTTGTCAGCCCAACCAATCACAGTCTGAGGTGGCCCTGCAGCACTTTTAGACTGTCCTCTTTGTGATAAAACTGCAGACTTGGGTCTCTTTAGCTGAGTACTACTGCCAGTTGAAACAGCATAAGGAGACAGTCTGGCTTCCCTTAAAACAAAAAATAAAATAATAGTATATTATTAGAAGACCTGGTTTTGCATACAGGAAGGGCTATCACTAAGACTTCAAGTTCAAGGCTGTGCTCTAGCTGTGTATAGAGATCCCTGGCACCTAATTTTTGCTCCCAGGTGACTTTTTTTATGGAAATCATAATTTTATACAGGGCACACTGGGTTTTACAGGTTCAGAGCATTGGACTTCCCTTAATATTTCTTAGAGCACAGCCTTAAAGTTGCTGGGTATATGCAATTACTGGTATATTGCAGTGGATGGGAAATTGAAAGGTATGGAAGTTCTCTTTGGTTCAATTTTCCTTCTATTTCCTATGAAATGAGCAGTGGAAAATCGCTGATAGTCTAATAGTAACTGCAGTCCTTATGTTTCCACTACATGCAGCAGGTTAGTGAATGATCTGTAGGGTGTGCTGATATTGGCCAGATTCAAATGAAGAACCTGAGAAGGCAATACAAGCCCCCAAACACAAGCCCCCAGCGGCTTGAACTTGGAAATTGCCCTAAAAATCGTCAAAATAAAACAAAGCAAAAACTGTACAGTAACGCATAATTTCTGGCATTTGGCAAAGAACTTTTACCTGTGCCAAATGAATGCAGTCAAAAAGTGTCACAGTAGATGTATATTGCTGTTTGCACAGTTCATTCTTAACTCTTAGCTTGGATTTCCTCGTCCCAAATAGGCAAAGTACTTGCATTGCTGAGTTTTAGTAAGATTTGTAAACATCCTCAAGGTAATTACCAATTGATTTTGAGACGTATATTTCCCTGTCAGTATAGACAGTATAAGCCTAGCCAATTTTGAAATGCAAATTTCCCTCCATGTAATAAGCCCCTCAAAAAGGGCCTTGGAAAAATGTAAGACCCAAAGCTTATTTTCGGAATTTTATCCATTTTCTTTTTGATGGGGATTTAGCTGCTGCTTTTTATATTGAGGTGTCCACACTAACTAAGTGTCTTTGCCATGGTTAAACTCATCCACAGAGATGAGCATGGGGGGGAGGTGTACGAGATGCTAGTGGAGCCACGGACTTCAAAGACATTATGTTGGGGCAAATCTAGGGGGAGGGTACAGGGAGTGCACACCCCCCTCTCCCTGAGATGACCTGCAGCTTTCCAATACAGTTATACAAAATCTGCAGTACCGTTTGATATGTATTCTCAGCAGTTAACATTAGTATGTTGTTGTCTAGTCGAAAGCCTTCTTCCTCGTATTCACTTTTACAATTGTTTACGTCACTAGTCAGTAACGCCACTGATTGGGGGTGCACCCTCTCCTAAGAAAAATCCTGGATCCGCCCCTGATATCTCTTATACAGGGATTAGAGACACCCTGATTATCAAGACGTCCATAAAGAATAATTATCAAGGTGACTGCTGCATACCTCGAGACATCACGTCTTCCTGCAAAACTTATATATGACAATCTATGGTCAAAGGCCAAAGGATAATCTGTAAAGGAGTCCTAAACCCCACATAAAAACAGACCACCCACTTACCTTCCTTTGCGAACTGGAGGACTTCTTTGAATTTCATCCATGTATTGAGCGAGCAGTATATCTTCATAGGTAATTTCCTCGCTTATTCCTCTTTTGAAATACACCGATGATTTCCCCTTACCAGCTGCACGATCGCGAGATTCTGAAGTCATTTTGATTTTGTTTGGAAAGTCAGATCATCAGGTCAAGCTCAACTATTTTTGCGGGATTTACTCACGTTTCGTCCACCATTATTGAAACAAAACCAACCCAAAATTAACAGGTCGCTGTCTAATTGATGCTATACTGCACTGGTTCAACCGAAATTAGGAAAACCGCCTCTATTTAGGACAGTTTACAAAGAGATTTTTGTCAAATTTACATTTCTAAGATGGCCGCGCGTTGCTACGAGTGACGTCACAGTTTTGTGAAGAATACCGCTGAAAAAGACTTGGCGGGAAAACTCTCGGCTCAGCTTCTAGTCACAGGGCAACCAGACTCACAAATAGCCTACTAGGAACCAAATTATAAGGATTTAAAGGGAATTTATTGTAAGATAATAAAAAGGGGGAAATGCATAAATAACCATGAAATTGTAAATGCCTCATAAAGAGTTGTGTCTGTGTTGTTTTCATACTGTTTCCCGCCATATAAACGCAATTTTAGCGAGTTCTGATGTTTTGGTTTCTCACCTATCCAAAACAGTAAGAAAACAACACAGACACAAGTCTTTATGAGGTATGTACACTTAAATTGCTGTTTATGTGCATTTTACCCGTTTTACCGACCTTACGATAAATTCCCAAACAAATCCTTGTCATATAACTTCCAGTAGGCTGTTGTGAGTCTGGGAACCCTGTGATACAGTTAAGTGCAACAGGTGAGCTTAATAATAGTTTTTCCCAAAAATTTCAATGGTTCTTGCACATGTGATGGGTGCATTTAGTTCGTTATAAAACGCAATACATTCTTTGGGTGTTTTCCTGCTCATATGTCATATCACTAACTGTGGGTGGTTGTTCCTAGAATGTTCTACAATTGGTGTAGGATTCAATGGAACCGAAATCAATTTTGGAATTTTCGGCATCCTACAGAGAAAAGTTACGACTGATAGATATCTCGAACAACGACAATTTGCCGTCTGTTCTCTTTGCATTCTCGTCATAAGCCAGGTCAATGCACCGGAAGCCCTACACCCGGTTGACTCAGACGGTAGCATCCTGCCCCGTCTGTAGAGTGTGTTGTCGCTGCTTTTACAGACGGCTGGACGTTCACGTGCCCCTATGGGATTAAAAACTGTTGAAGAACTATATTGGGCACTCTCTTCCAAAAATTCAAAACCAGGACGCTGCTTTTCTTGCGGTTAGAAGATCTGAGGGTTTATTTTCCAGGGACATATATCCCAAGGAGATCTTGCAGAGGGTAACTCTCCCATGCGCTTGGCCCAAAAAAAACATTAGCTCTGAGGGAGAATTTTCTTGGTGAAATGTTGAACTTTACGGGGAACGTCGTGGGGGAAAAGTGTTGGAAGAGGGCTATAACCCTCCGAGCATACTTTTGTCAAATTATCCCTGCAGGGGAATTCGGAATCATAAGCAAAGTGGAGAGAACAAACAGTGTTCTTTGCGTTCACGAACTGGCAAAACAAACAAACAGAAACATGTCAAAACAACATTTCTCGTGCGTGCGGAAATTTTGAGTTTTGTTCGCCCTACTGAATGTTAGACGCTAAACGAAGGGTAAGGGTTGTCAAGTCGTCTTTTGGTTTCTCCTAAGTAGTATTATTTGTTGGAGTAGATAAGAGCAAAAGTGCCGCGAAATTTAGATTTTTTCGACCCCCTTGGCACTCTCTAAACACAATACACAAACGTCTTTACAGTGACATTTTCTTCTCTCTCTTTCTCTTTTTTTAACTACAAAATATCCTCAAGTCTTCTAGGCGCTTTTGATAATGTTTTCTCTCAGAATTTAAAAGCGTTTAAGTTTAAGTTGTTTCTGGTTCCATTTTTCAACATGTCTTTTAACCACTTTCACGATCGTGTTATAGTGCTGTAAAAGAGCGGATTGAGCAGTCCCAGATAGGTTAGTTCTTTCACTTCCTGGATGTAACACACTTGAAATGTGATCCTGAGATTTTGACCACACCTGAAATCAAAAATGGAAAAAGAAAACAAACGGCCAGTCATTTAAACGGAGTTTAGCCAGTGTTCTAAGCCACTGTCAGTTTGGCCAACGCTTTAATGTAAACACCACTTATCGTGAACAGTTTCATTAAAGCGTATAAAGAACACTAGATAAGCATTTGCCTTCTTAAAATAACCCACTAGCGAAGAGATCTGGATGTCAAAAGATTTTTTCCTAAACCACGGTCTAAGTTAGACTTCGTTTAAATAACCGACCCAAAGTGTTTAAGACGGTGAAAAATGAATTGTCGAAAACCAATTTCGTAAACCCCTTGATACTGCATTGCTTCGCTCTGTGACAGGCTAAAGATTCTCGCGCCACTTTTTCAACCAATCAGAAACATTTTTCAGTTGCCTGTTCTACCGCACCTTTAAAAGCACTTGACAAAATCTCTGAAATATTTGTGAGCTTTGCTTTCATGTAAAATGAAATCAAAGCTTTTACAGACTGAGGTTATTTATTTACAAAAAATAGCTTTTTTTATTCAACTGATTTGGTAAATCTAAAATACTCCAGGGTCCCAGGGTCAGTGCATAGTGCTAGATCTATACAGCTAGTTCGAGAAAGGTTGTCGGAAAAAGTGCACGCGACAATCCCGAGAGGTACTGTGGGTAGTTTTGAGTTCACTGTTCTTCAATGACATTTGAAAGAATGGCACGAGAGGCCATGGACGTATGTTTGCGAGTACTAAAGGAAAGCAACAAAAGTAGGTTCGACAGCTACAGTGTCAGGAACAGTGTATTGATCATATCCCATATTACCTTTCGGGATTGTCGCGTGCACTTTTTTTTCGACAACCTTTCTCGAAGTAGCTGTATACCTCAGCATTATGCGAAATGCACTATTATTCCGGGGAGACAGTAGAGCTTAAGCAAGGACGTTTTTGAGCGACGCACGTCAACCGGAAGTGAGGACTTTTCCCTTTTTATATGCCTTGACGCTAACAAATTTGCATTGATAAGTTTCTTTTGTCTACCCGAGAGTTTCAACCAATCACTGTCCAGTGATGCAAAAAGTCCACTTCCGGTTGACGTCCGTCGCTCAAAAACGCTGTTGCTTAAGCTTCCTAATGAGAAGCTTAAGCCCAAGCATTTTAAAGCGACTGACGTAAAACAGAAATAAAGCCTTTTCCCTTTTAACATTCCTTGACGCTATCACAATTATATTGCCAAGTATCTTTACCCAAATAGAGAAAATTTGCCCGAAAATCTGGCCAAAACCAAAGCCCAAAAATTCACGCAACGCTCCGACCGTTGCGTGACACCCAAAAAACGGCTGCGAGGGAGACTACCGATTGGGCGGTAAGTTCCCATCTATGTACAGGTCGACCCGACCTTTTGGTAGTCAGGTCGTGAGACACTTAGAAGAATATTACTCTCTGATGTTGAAAGATGGGGTCGCCAGATGGTGACGGATCGCGACGATCCGTTCGGGTGGTGACGACATTTCAAAGAACAAGTTGACCCGACTTTTTGGTGATCAGGTCGTTAGAGACTTAAAAAAATATATCTCTCTGATGTTGTATATATATATTATAAATTTACCTGATTTAACTCTCCACTCAGCTTTTCATCATATAATGCACTACTGATGACTGAGACAGTAGCTGACTGTGGAAACGGCTTCAGCTTTCGCAACATTCTCAGCTGTGCTAAGCTTTCGTTTGCGAAGAAAAATTCATCAACCGCCGCACTAAGATGACCAGGTTTACAAAGCAGGTGTTTCTGTCGCATAGTCACATTGGAAGACAGAAGTTTGTGCTGCATCGGTGGTTTCATTAAACCAAAAATGAGCGCTATTCTAGTGATCCCTACTGCCGCAGAAAATTGCAGTACTTGCTGAGAGGAAGCATATCGCTCATACCACATTTGTGTCCACTCTTCACCAAACAATCCCTCCTCAGCCAGAGGATTTATCAACACCAAACTTTCCACGTCGTTCTCAAACATATTCGTGAAAAATCTTGCGTTGACTGCTCCTAATTCTGCACCTACTAGTATGAAAGGTTTGGGCTGATCAGAGCTTAACGCAAATAACCGATGGAAATCCTCCACCATTCTCTCACTGGTCGATAATTTGCCTCTTTTTGCTTGCTGTGGATCTGACCAGTTGACTAAAGGTCTGTCACTGAATCCTAAACCAGCTCTATCATAGATACATACTCTGGCGATCTTGGCAATTTCAGGTGCAATCAGTGCCCAAGCATCTGATGACTGACCTGTGGGGGCATCAAAAATGACAGTGGGTGAACCACGCCCAGAGCAACCCATGAAGAGTTTCTGCTTCCAACCAATATCATAAAGTTCACCTATAAAATAATGCACATATATATATATTGCCATTGATTAGATCAATCCACAAGGCTGAACCTCAAAAATAGGCATGCAGAATTTGAAAGAAGTATTTAATGGGCAGGCACATCAAACTTAATGATATGCTGCACTCTGATAAAAATTTCTTAGCACTGATTGCGCACTTTAATATTCCACTCTTCCAGAAGACTCATTTTGTCCCAAACAAGTCACATGCCAGGTCCAAAAATCTTGACCTAGAAAACGCTACCATGATAAGCTGTATCTATATGACTCATTCTTAGTTTCTGCTATGATGCAGTGATTTTGTTGCCTCTGCGTCCTGCATCCCTGACACATAAAAATCCGCAAAGACGCAAAATAAATGTAATTCAAGGCATGCATCCCGTAGGATCCAAAGGACGATCCCTCAATTTGAAGATTTTTTCGTAGAATAACCTGTTTGTGTGATTTCTGTGGCTGTTGTTTGTTGTGGCTGACGCATGTTTATTTTAGTCTTTTAGTGCTCTAAATATATAGAAGGACTATATTTTAATTTCAGTAAACTGTAATAAAGAGTTTTGGCATCAATCTCCAGATTAACTGTCTGGTCACATGCACTGTAAAGGCCCAAGTATGTTCAAGGCTGTGCTCTAAGGAAATTTGTAGGGAGCCCAGTGCTCTGAAACTGTAAAATCTAAGGTACCCAGCATATGATTTGTATGAAAAATATGAGATTTTCTAGTCGCCCAAGGGCAAATGTTAGGCGCCAGGGGTCACCGGGCTCTGCTAGAGCACAGCCCTGATGTTCAATTTAAGACTCCTTGTCTTTTTGAACTGGGACTCATTGGTTTGTTTATGGGGGCACAAGCTTTGTAAACTATACTTAATTTGAAATAAACTTGTTGTTGTTGTTGATAATATATAGATTTAGCCAGGGCTAAAGAGCGAAGCTCCCATTAATAAATATATAATTTAAATCAAACCATAGTTAGTAACTATGATCAAACCATTAACTTGTAATCCACAAATCATTTAACTTAAGGGCACAGTCATGTGGTTTTTGAGGGAAAAGCTAAGTGATTTTAGAGTGAAACATCTCACATCAAGTTGACTTATATGTTCACCCAAAAAATAGCAATCATCTTCGATCAAATTCAAGAGCCATAACGGCTCTTGGTCACAGTAGATTAGGCCTGGAAAACAAATCAGGCTGAATCTTTTGCGTTCAATAAGTTTACTTTACAAAATCTTGCCAGCAAATCTGGAGGTGTGTAAACCAACCTTTTATACTTTTTATACATCACATCTTAGGTGAAAAAGTACTATGAGGCACTGTATTTATCATACAAACCTCGGACAGAATGCAGTATTTCACTATTTTTCAAAACAATTGTACTCAGTCAATATTCAGGACGATCAATCGTTGGCTTTTAGCGAAATCGTTCAAAAAATTTCCAAAATCACCTATACGGCCAGCCGGTTCTCGGCTTTTGACAAGTGGTCGAGTGTGTGAATGAACATTAATAGAATGACGCTTCAACATAATAACGAATTTATTATGTTATTTTTTTTTATTTAATGGCTTTATAACGATGTGTAATCTTGAAAAGCGTTTGATACGCGCGACATTTTGAATACTCCCGCATGCGATGTTCATGAAAGACTGAAAACAAACGGCACAGCCATTGAAATTGAAAAAGAGACTTCTAACAATCAATAAAAGAAATATAACTCGGTGAAACATTTAAAGAGATAGCAATTTTCATTCACGAAGACAAGTATTAAAGTGTCTTTAAAAATCCTGAGTCTAAGTTTATGTTTTAAGCCGGCTTCCCGGTGTTTGCTTTTTTCAAAGATGACTCGAGGCAAGAAAATCGATCAAATTTTTCTTTCTACAAGCAAATTTATAACTAAATATTCTTCGGGACGTTTTCTTTCTATTTGCGGTGAGAAAATTTATCTAAAGGCTTTTTAAAGTTCTGTCAGCTTAAATCAAACCTGATACTAGGTCAGTTCATTGTCTCAAATCTTACAAACGTGCAAATTAACTTGCCGCATAAACTGTGCTCGACTTCATGAGGTTACATATAAAAAAACAAACATCAGATACAATAATTACTCAGGCTTGCCATTCGAGATGCAGCTCCTGAAAGCTATCAAGTAAGGCCAGAATCGCTTGAGACTTTTAAACTCATCTTACGTATCAAGCAAGGTGAAAAACGAAAACGATGCCATCCGAAATGGGATTTCCGACTTTGACAAGCGACGCATTTCTCAACCAAAAACCCAATAAACGAACCAGCCATGAATAACAGAAGACTCTTGATAGCAGCTGTATTTCACTTTTTACATCAAGTGGAAAAAGACATTAAAAACATCACAAGTTGACACAAAACTCTGTCAGCTTCAGCTGTCAAAGTAAACAAGTTTCAAGATGCTGCATAAATTTTCCGCATGAACTCACCTGTCAAATTTTGACCAATCAGAGCATAAAAATTGGACGTAGAGCGTGACCAACGCGTGACCATGGTAAGAAAAGGTCTTCCCCGCCCGTATTTTTAAATAACTGGCTGGATTGTCGTGTCCGAGGTACGTTTGAAATCAAAATCTTAATAGTGCTGGGCCATAGTGACATAAACACGACATTTTTCATATAAATTTTTAAAAAACAAACTTGAGCCTGCGGTCATTTGAAAACTAGTAACTTGTCAGCGGATAACTTCAGAAAAACACTCAAACTCGATGGGTCGACACCTGAGCCCGCGATACAGTCTGGTGATACTGATCAGCGGATACCCTGTTTTGACAGCTGTCAATTGATCGCAACATTGATGTGCAATCAGTTTTCTCCTGGGCTCCCAAACTAGCTAGAAAGTGCGAGAGTAAACATTGGTATGCCTGTGGTGCGGACGGACGGTCGTACGTTCGTTCGGTGCACGGTCACCTGATAACCAAATTTTCTGGGATGGGTAGATTTACTTAGCTATGGGGCTCTGCCCACGCGCGCGCGCGTGGAGCTCTGCTATAACTATTTGTAACAAAATAACTGATGATGTTAATAAATTTAAAACCAAACCACTCGAAGCATGAGCTCACACCAGCATGAATCACTGATATAAGTCATGCCAAAGCCATATAAAAATGCACCTAAACGTTTGAAACATTAATTCAGCTGAGATTGATACATGTAGTTATGACTGCTGCAGTGTACTTATCAATAGTGTGATAGTTAAAAAGAAAAAAAACTAAGATGGTTACTTGACACAATGACTCTATTTTTATCACAATTTCCCTCCCAGTTCAAAGGGTGACTGAAATAAAGCCACAAGTGAAATTAGACCAATTATACTACTACATGAGAAATTTCCGCAATTTGATTGGCTTAGAGCAGTGGTATTTCAGCTTAATTTGAAATTCCTACATGTGAAAATTACAAACCTTTTGTGGGTAGTAGTATAAACAAATAATAGCATGATTTGTACGGAATATTTGGCATAAATACCACTTGTGATATTTCAAATTGTGTCAAATTTCACGAGCCGTTCACGTATAACAATTTTGAAATATCACTCGTGGTATTTATGCCAAATATCACTACAAGTCATGCTATTACCTATACAAATACTACTTTAGTAAAACATTTATGGGAGTGAAGTTTTGACTCTGACCTGGTGGTCGTAGCACATCTCCTTCTCGGAACAGAGCGGCATGATTAAGAAATCCAGGAACTAACAGAAACAGGGAATACTTTAACAGTCCCAGCCAACTGCTGCTGCTCTGTTCTCTCTCAACTTCCTCATCACCTGAACTATTTGTCTGCTTTTAAAAAAAAGAAACATCAACAGTTCAGCAATAAATATTTTTTAATGAGTTATCTGAGCCAACATTTTTGCCCAATCCCATAATTCTGGCAGTTTTTAATGGCTATAAACCTGATCCTGTACACAGTTTTTAAAAAGTTTCTTTAATACAGAGGGTCCACAATTCCTCATGTTCATCTGGCACAGTCACAATAATGGCAGCATAGCCAGGTCACAAAAACTGAGAATAGCTTGTTTTAAGTCAAAATAAAAACATTAACCCTCTAAGCACCAATATCAAATACAAATTCACCCATAAATTTACCCATAAATTTTATTGAATTGAGAAGTTAAAAGAGCTGATTAACTTCAGGCACCTAGCTGGAGTTTTAGAATGGGTGTTTGTTTTGAAACTGAAAGCCAAATGTGAACCGAGCACTGTCAGCAAGAAAAGGGAAAACTTGAGCGCAAAAACACAAGTATCTGAAATATTTTAGATCACTTTTCTTTTCCAGGCTCGAACAGAAGAAAGCATTATTCTGCTTGTGTGAATAAAGAAAAACTGATGACAGATATACAAAAAGATAAGTTGGCTCTTATATTTGACCGTCCTTTTCTCATGTTTGTTTTCTATGTTCCTTCCAATGAAATGATGTCTCTATGACAGCTAGAAAAAGAAGAAACCCAGAGCAAATTAAGTAAGGAATGAAAAGAATGCTAGAATTTTTTCTAAAACTTTGTTAAAGGTACACGCTCTATGTGGCCGGCCATTCCTAAACTAAACTTGACAACTCCAGCATCAAAAAAATTGGACAATTTCTTCCAGATCAACAGGTAAATCGTGCTTATACATATTGATCTGCATTAGAGCAAGGAGGAGCCATGGTACATCTCATGTAACCAACTTGTGCACCACCTCTATACTTCATGTTTGTAGTTTCGAACTTTGACGGTGTACACAGTCTTCTCAGAAATGTTTATTAAGGATCTAAGCTATGGCCTTAATAAGTTAATTAGCAGTTTTCTGAATTTTCCCGGGTAATTTGTTTTCCGTTACCTCAATATTTACACCCCATAGATCTTTGTAAGCTCTATTTAAGGAAGTACCAGCTGCAGAAAACTGCTTATGATTGCTGTGTGCCAAAATTGTTAATGAGCCATACATTCCTTGCAAAAATTCCAGTTTTTAAAACAACTTTTTAAAAAAAACCTCTCGTTAACTGGGCTCAAATTATAAATAATAATAATTATTATAATAACAGTTTATTCATATAGCATCATTTCCAACAATTCCCAAAGGCACTTTACAGCAAATATTGAAAATATCATAAATATTGTTCATATAATTATTTCATTGAATTAAAACAAATATTAAAAATAGCAAAACTGCATGTAATAATATTGATAAAAAAACGCTTTGAGTTAAAAAAGGCTAATTAAAAATATATATAAAAAAAGGCTAAAATATAAAAGGATTACATAACTTTTAAGATTCTTTTAATGACCTTTAAATTAATGTTTAAATGGCTTAGTTCCTTCATATTTGTCCAACCTAGTTACAAGGTATATTCCTAGGTGCAACTTACATGTAAGATCTGCTAATAGCCATCGCCTGCTTCATGTTAGGTATAATCTGCGAAACTATGTGAAACCACAGTTGTGGTATGACATGCAACTTGAAATAAGATCTTGTGAGAGTTCAAATGATTTTAAGAAAAAACTGAAGACTACCTTTTTAGGAAAGCGGTCTATTCAATTAGTTCTTTTTATATTTTAGTCGTTTTATGTATATAGTAGTAGTAGTAGTAGTAGTAGTAGTAGCAGTAGCAGTAGCAGTAGCAGTAGCAGTAGCAGTAGCAGTAGCAGTAGCAGTAGCAGTAGCAGTAGCAGTAGCAGTAGCAGTAGCAGTAGTAGTAGTAGTAGTAGTAGTAGTAGTAGTAGTAGTAGTAGTAGTAGAAAGTGCTGTCAGAAAAAGATAGGTCTTGAGTTTTTTCTTAAAATCGTTCAAAGTCTCACAAGATATATGGTAATTTCTATAGTGGCATGTCATTCCACAACTGTGGAGATGCTAAAAGACCGAAAACATAGCTGCGCAGATTATATTGGACATCAAGCACATGATGGCAATTAGTAGATCTAGTAAGTTGCACCAAGGAATATACCACATATTAAACTAGGTCATACAAATATGAAGGGGCTAAGCCATTTAAACATTTAAAGGTCATTAAAAGAATCTTAAAAGTTATTTGCTCTTCTATTAAGGAAGCCAATGCAGTTTCTGTAATACTAGTGAGATATGACTATTATGTTTATGTTTTGGTGTAAGCACAACCATTCTGGCCGCTGCATGAACATGCTGAAGTCTCTTGATAGTTTGTTTTGGTAGTCCCTACAGAAGTGAATTACAGAGGTCCAATCTGGAAGTAATGAAAGCATGCACAAGCATTTCCATGGTATGGCAACTGATATATTTCCTTTATATGCAGCTAACATTTTGATGCTGGTTGAAGACTACCTTGCATACGGCTCCATTGACATTAATGTACATAATTTTTTATAACGATGCCAAAAAGATAAGAAAGATGATGCAGAAGTATCTGGTGATCAACTGTATCAAAGGCTGCTGAAAGATCCGATAGGAACAGTATCATGCAGGAATTATTATCAATGGCTAGGAGTGTATCATCCTGAACTTTAATCAGTGCTGTTTCTGTGCTATGATATTGTTTATTGGCAGACTGGTCAATTTCAAATAGGTTGTTATCCTCAACGTGATGGCATGATAAAAAATTGTCATTGAGTCACTACAACCTTTTCAACACATTTTGAGATAAATGTCAGGTTTGAGATGGGCGAAAGCTGCTAAATTCTTCATGAATCAGATTTGCACTTCTTGAGATGAGGGGACAGAGACACATTTTTTAGACTAGATGGAACAACTGCATCTGTAATAGACATGTTAACTGACTAGCTTAGTAATGGTATTATCAGAGAAAGCAAATTCTACTTTGATCTTTTAATATTCAGAGTTGCTAAATTATACTGAGTCAAAAAAAATGATTTATGTTAAGGAATAGTATGCTGTGATTGTTTGCAAGGGGTTTTACTGCTTTAAGTTATTACCTCTATAGGTTTCACATTTCTTTTTTCAGGTTTCCGGTGCCTCATGATTCCTTCAAACAAAAATAAAAATAAAATAAAATCATAATCATGAGAGTAATATTTATTAGAAGTTTGGTCAGATCAATATTTATTTTTCACTCTTTAGAGACCCAGCGCCATGATGTTGAACTTTGTTATGTGTGCTGGGCATATTTAAAGGAGAACAATGCCTCAAAATACCTCACTCACCCCAAGACCAAAGAGTCATGGCCTAAGATATTAACTCTACGTATTGAAAACTCTTTAAAAAGATTGAGATTAATCTGAAATCGAAGACAATCTGTAGCACTGTTTATTTAAAATTACAAGTTTTCTATTTTTATTCTACCTTTTGACAAATTTGAGATGGTGTATACAGTACGTATATGAACTTTACAAGATACATTATAATAACTTATGCATTTGGTTCGGTACATGAAAAGGTCGGCGTCTGAATCAAAGCCATTCCAAAGTCAATCCAAAGTCAAAATTCCCTGCTGGGCTAGCTGACAGGAAGAACAGCTGAGCTGTTCTAAACTGAAGCAGGCTTTTTTCTAATTATTGATTCAGACACCAAACTTCTCATGCACTTACCATAATTCAGTGTATTAGGTTTGGCTCATGAAAAGTTTGGTGCCTAAACTGAGCCTAGGCGGTTATTAGAACACTGAACTTGCAATCCAGAGGCCTCAAGTTCAAGTCCCACCCTGACCGCTAGCTGGATTTGTTCTTGGTAGTCCCGAGTTCAAATCATGCTTGTAAAATAGCCAACTGGCTTGCCTCCAACTTATTGAGATTCTAAAGGTGGCTCAACCATTGTATTTTTGTATAACACCTTCCATCTTTGAATCTCTTATACTTACACAAATTGATCTTTATTGTAAAACAATTATAACTACACAAGTATTACACATATATCAACTTTATTGTGATATTATTTTGAGGTGAATAAAACTAGTTATAGTTATTGCTATAAAGTGCCAACAAGCAAAGATTTTACCTACATGTATACGCGCACTGTTGAATTTGTTTAGAAATGTCATGAAATACAGTAATGAAAAATAGATTGAACTTTGGGGCCCAACAGTGTGTCAAAGCCATTGGGTTAATGAATGGAGAAAACCACGTCTCAAAAACCCCGTACTGCAGTGAGTGAAAAGCAGTCTATACAGCACCAGCTCCACACAACACATCTGGGAGCTGTTGGGTGGGAACCGCACAGCAGTTCTACCATGGCAGGTGCGGGAAAGGTGGATCACCAGTTACCAGTAAATTAAAGCAAGGGGTACACATACACCAACCCATGGCCATTACCTCATGCATGCCCACAGCCATATCACGCAGGCAGTGGCAGCCATGGACAGCTGTTTTGCCCTTACTGGGGCTCATCAGCATGGCATAGCCATCAGTCAGTGACCAGGGAAAACCCGTATGAAGACCATTTCCTGACGAAGTGAGTACCTTAAGTGCCAGCTCCACACAACACATGTGGGAGCTGTTGGCTGGTAACCACATGTCAGTTCTCCCACGACATGCATGGGGAAGGCAGATCATGGGTCCGGTGTATGTGTGCCCCTTGCTTTAATTTGTCTTTTGAAAATAGTGAACGAATTTGAAATCCTGACTCTACACAGCAAATGTTCGAGATATTAAAGTTCATGTTTTTGTCTGAAGTTGCACACAAGTCATTTTGCTTAAAATTTAGTGGTCTTATAAGCAAACTTAAAATCCTCGAAAAATTATATTTAAGTCTGCGAATATTCAACATACAGACTTATATTTCGTCTTTTTTTAAAGCTAAAAAAATTTATGGTGCATCTATGAAGCCTTCTGAATTATTTTGCTTCAAAGACACAAAAAATTTCACTGCATTATTATTTTTCTTAGCGGGATGCAATTAAAAATTCCAGCACACACATGCGACAGATATCGCGTACGATGGAAATGATCCACCCAACAATTGGTTGAAGACTGGATGAGCAGGGGACACACAAACACGTACATGGCTCGTTGATTCCCTGATCTGTATCACGTGTTTGCTTGAAAACAATGCATTCTCTGTCCTACATTACATCATGGCTGCTATACATTAATCTATGTTACATCGATTTTTTTTGCCCCTGGAACAATCGCACACGGCTTTTTCAGGCCGCCTCACAGCCTCGCGTTTTCGCGAGGCTGCTCATTGGCAATAAATAGCACGTGACAACAACATCACAATAGGTTTAGCTTTAAATCAAATTTCAGCCCATATCAGCATTTTCTTTGGAAATGCTTTCACTACAGATACTTTGGGTGCTTGTCTTCCGCTGTGCGAAGTTTCACAAAATTGTATACGAGGAATTTCAAGATATCTCTGAATTTCTACAAAAAGGGTATGTACATTTTGCATGAACTGAAGACAGGACTTAATGCAGACAAATTTGCTACTTTTTGGATGTTTCTGAAAAGTTGTTATCACTCACTTGTTTTTCAAATGACCTTGATACACTCTACAAATGGCTAAATGTACGTAGACTTGTACGATTTTGAAAAACGTGAAAACATGTGAATCAAGGTAAAACGCAGCACTGAGCTCTTTTAATAACTTTAATTTCCGAGGCTTCTTTCACGAAAACAGTGATTAAACCAAAATGTGTGGATAGATTTTCTTCAAAAATTTTCAGGGCTGCAAGTGATTAGTGTTCTATAAAATTCCCAAATTTCATGTCTATATTGAAAACTTTTAAAGTTGTCTAACGTAGGGGCAAAATTGAGTAAAACATTGAAGCGATGTCATAGATTTGGATAATTTTTTGCTCTGGGATTCCCTATTGTCTTGAGTTGAGCGTAACATCAAATTCCCAGGTAGCAAGCAAGAATTTACTGTGCTTTGGCATGGCTTCCCTCTAAAATCTTTCCAAAATATGTTAATGTTAGAAAGGGAGAAAAACATTTAGAGTTTTATACGTAAACTAAACTGAACGTCCACTACTTATCAATTGGTAACATTGCTAATTTCATTGAATTTGAGATAGTATGAGGTCCTAATTATCTCTTTTCACTATTGTTTCCTCCCTTCCTACAACATATTTACCATATTTAAGAAGACTTTGGAGGGTAACCAAGCACGGTAAATTCTTAACCTACAGGGAATTATTTACTATAAAGTTTGATTGAATAGGCCTTTTGCAATAGTTGGTCACGTGATCAACTTTTTATAAACACAAAAATAGTTCATTTTTATGGTGGAGAATTTTGTCAAGTAGGAACTGAAACTGAAGTATTAAAATTAGATAACCTGTGAAATTTCAACCATATATCTCAAAAGAAGTGATTGCAACAGCCGCCGAAACTTAGAAGGAGGGAAACAACTCTTGGGAAAACTCTTGCCACCCAGTCATGCTTGAGTGGTTTTCCATACAAATCCTTGTAAATTTTGAAATTTTTAAGAAACAGTCCAGATAAGAACGATAGCAACAACGGCAACGAAAATGTTGGAATGCAAAAAAGGTGCTAACTTTTCTATTGTTTGTACTTACTTCTGATTGGCTTAAGGTATTTGCACAGGCAAATTTTCAACATTTTATTTTGCCCTCAAAATCTTTCTACAGTAAGTTCAGATGATGTAATATGCATATCTGCTGTTCTTTTTTGAATATACCTTGGCATTTAAGAGAAAATCTACTCAAAAGTTGACTGATTTACCGGAAGTTAAAGAAAAATTTCATTTCCGTTACTAAGGAAAAGGACGGCAGGAGCGCAATTTGACTCCTCTTTCCAGCATCAAGTTCTATTGATGCGCTGAACAAAATCTATTCACTGCTTGGATTCATTGACCAGCTACAGCCGCTGTGTGTCCAACTTGATTTTTCTTGCTTCTGTTAAAGCTGTGATGACTAATATTACTTGCTTCTTGTCAAAATTTGTTATGTTCTTGAAATACACTCCGTTTTCCAGGGCTTATTATTGTTTTAAATTTACATTACATCGGTGTGTCTTCTCACCTGATATTTTCTGACAATTTTGCCGGGAGAGTAAAACGTTTTCTTGGCCCCTAATCCTCTGGTCTGTTTTTCTGCCAATTTCTTTCACTTTACAGAAGCAATTCTTTTCAATTTTGAATAAAACT